GACCGTCTGACTCAATCGATGGTTGATTAGTAAGAGACTACAAGGTCCATGGCCAGTTGTTCTACGACCTCTTTCAACTGAAATAATATCATTCGGGAATACACAGAGACAAATGGGAGTAGTTGTGCACGTACTTTTCAACGGAAGTTCTCGCCTTTTCCCGTACAACCTGTGTAAAGTGTATTTTGTTTTCCGTGGGTGGGTAGACAGTATAGGAACTTTAAGGGGAATCCTACCCATTCTCATGTCTCAATGTGCCGGTAACGGCCTTTTGCCCATGAATCAATTTTACAGAACTTGTTCACGTCAACAGTACTTTGTGAACTGTTGGTCCTTTGCCCTCTGGGTTGACTGAGCGTACATTGGGTCAAATCTAGCACCATTTCCCGAAACTTGGCTTTGTCTCCAGCTTTGCCCCCGAGCTCAAGCTTCCTGATTGTGATTGCTTGTCAATGGGTCCCGTTTCAACAGGTGTATTACTGAAACAGGGTCCTACAATACATAGCTATAATGCTTCGAGTCTTCATTTGGCTAGGTATTATAAAGCATTTTAACGAGTAGTTTCAACTTTCGAGGCCAGAGATAAAGCTAAACCGGAGATGACACCAAGGTTTGAGAAAATGGTTTAGTCCATGCAGATATAGTGTGAAATTTGGACTACATCATGACATTATGACAATACTAGGAAAGTGGCGGGTCACGTGTGAGAGTTCGAGACCAAGGTAAAAGAGACATGATTTCATTGGAGTCCAAATTTCATATGACACAAGTTTTCACTTTGGGACGTGTGAGGTGGCTGTCGTGCCAGTCGTTTAAGTGGGAGGATCCCCAGGAGGAAGTTTGCGGTGTAGAGGTGCCCCTTGCCCAGGACACGGGACATGCGGCCCTTCCTCGGGGCAGGGGGAAAAGGAGGAAGGGAGAGAAGAACCGATGGGATGAGTAATCTATCGCGATACGGCCAATGGCCATGGATAGCCGACTTAGAACACGGCGTGCCTCGGGAAAAAAACACAGGTCCAGTTCAAGTCTGGGACCAATTTTACGGCAGATGCACTTAGCACAGAATTTTGCTAGGCACAAAAATATCTCCTGAGCAAAAACAGGTTACCATAGATTATTATGTGATGTTTATTGCTTGTGACTGGTTCCCAACTTGCTAAGCTGCTAATCAGCTCCATGGTTTTGTACCCAATACTTGGAGAACACACAATGAGGCAAATGTATACTGAGCGGATAAAATTTTTTTTTACTTTCAACACAGAATATTGTCGAGTGCACAAAAAAATACGTTCGTATGTATCACTATGGAGCTATAAAACGGTTTATAGCTCCCATCATATCACTCCAAAAAAGTTTGGCTAATGGGTTGGTAGGGTATGTAGCTCTTTGGGAGTATGAGATTTGGGAGTTTAGCGATGTTACGCATTGCCTTTAATTGCGCATGTGCGGGCTGGGACCTAGACGGCGGCAAGAAACTCTCTCGTCCCCAATGTGCACGCCCACGCCTCCATACTTCTACAGTCGCGTGTCTACATTCCCCAGGGATCGCGCGCTCTGAGTAAAAAAAAAAAGCTAGTTTCGCACAGGATTTCTCCTGACAAAATCAGATAAAAGTTGTCAAAAGTCCGGCCCAATTTCTTGGGCTGCAATCGACATGTTAATGTATAGGGGCATTAATAATGGTGACTCGCGCTGTGTTTTATGTAACAGAGGCTTGGGGAGTTTCACCATATGGTAAAAATTCAAGACGTAGTTTTAGGACAGGATTTCTTGCGATGTAATCAAGACAATCGGATGGTTTTTGTTTTTTAAGTCCAGCCCTTTTTTTTATCTGCCTTGAACTGCAATTGACATGTTAATGTATAGGGGCGTTCATACCGGTGACACGTACTGTGTTTTTGTACTGGTGGTGTGGGAATTTTCACCATATGGTAAAAATTCAGGACTGGTTTCGGACAGGATTTACTCTTGACAGAATCAGATTTGTTTAAAGTCCGGCCCACTTTTCCTTTGGGCTGCAAATGATTTATCATGTGTCGATGACGTATCCAGGTTTGGGTTGGGGGAGAAGGGAAAAACGTGGGGTTTTTTTCGATTCGGGTTTTTTAAGCGTATATAAGGAAAGAAGGGTATATAGTTCTGGTAGCGAAGTGGTTGCGCTTCTTTTTTTTATATATTTAAACCACGCCCCTCGCTTCATCCGCTATACTGTGATGTATAGATAAATAAATGTAACACTGGTGTATAGCTACACTCTAAAGAAAAATACCAACTTAGTCAAAATATTGACTGGTTTTCCTAGTTATTGAAAATCGACTAGGAATTTAGTTAAACATGCAATGTTTCATACTATGACTAGAAAAAGTAGTTGGATTTGACTCCAATTTTAGTTATTTGCATAACTGTTTTTCAATACTGACTGACTGGACAAATCTAGTCAGATTGACTGATTTTCAGTTGCACCCAGCTGACCCTGAATGGCTAGTCAAATTGAACTGGTTTCTAGTCAAATCTGACTAATGTTGGGGGTTTTTCAGAGTGTATAGACCATGTGTCCTGTGACGTCTTATTAACGGGCAACCAAGGGGCAGCCCAAAGATTTTAAAAGCATCTTTTGGATGTCATTCTGCCCACAAAAATAGACAGTTTATATCACCACAAATACACCGATCACATTAATTCAAGAGGTATACAATGTAGTGCAGAAGAAAACAGTTTGTTGGAGGTTGTCATTCGCGTGACCACGATGTTCACAAACGAATGTTAAATTTAACACCATGTGGTGTCCATAAGGAAGGTGTTATTGCACCACGGTTTGTCTACGTACAGTGTGGGTTTTTGAAACAGATGGTAGAAAATTAAGAAATCAATCTTATTAACCAATAATCGACTTATGCAAATCAGTTATATAATCTCTGCTATTATAATTCGCTGGGTGTGTCGGCAGGGACATGGCTTGTATGTCCACATTAAGGGATATAGTTTAATTCGAAATATATGTATGGAGATTGTTTTCTCCAATTTCGCGTTGGCCTACATGATTGTAGTACATAGAATAACAGGAAGATTTGTGGTATGGTACCAGTTTATGCATGTCCCGACTTCGTCGAAATCGGCAGGAAAGGTCGTCACCCGACATAAAAAGGAAGACATTTTTTATTTTATATTTACAGCTTTTGTTTTATAATATTAAGTGTGAATTGTAGTCATCAAACCAGTTTCGTAATCAATTCTTATATTATGTGAACTGAAATTGGTGCCTGTTTTGATGCACAATGACACGACAATGTATCGATATTCATTATACAAAGAAACACGACTTACTCATATCATACTTGTCATACATGACCAATCGGTCTGTAAATTGAAACTTTATCAATTTCGGGGCGATAATTTGTTGATTAGTTTATTTCCGATGCTGTAAAGCAACATGCATATTTGTTCTGTATATTTGCCAACAACTGACGTAATCAGTAATTTTGTGTGCACTGACGCCCATCCTAAATTCTTGTCATATTACATTCCTTCGGATAGCAGCTATTTTTACGACCTGTGTCCTTTTTAACGCGTGGGCATTTTGTTTTCACGTTACGGATATGACATGGTTTGCAATTATTTCAAGTGTTGCGACACTGAGATTTTTATTGCAATATTCTGGTTATTCGGTTAAAAAAGAAACAAGATTTTCTCTGAAGTCGAGACGAACTTTGCTCCCCCGTAGAACTAGAAAATACACGAATCGGCGAGACTGAGCGTAAACAGACTCACGACGGCTGTTTTATGTTTTGTTTTAACGCTACAACTTCATTGTAACAATATTTGATTCAGTAGGACACAAAATGAAGTTGCTTGTTCAATTATTGTACGTTCTTCGATTTAGAGTTTGTTGAACTTGGCAAAGTGTCTGTAAGAGGGTCAAAATGTATATATTCAAACTTGCGTGTTTTTCAGCAGCTCGGAATCATTGCGCAATTGAATCCGTTTGCTCCGTGTGCTTTTGTCAACTTTCTAAGAAAACTTCCGAACTTGATAAGGAAAGTGGACTTAAATATTGCTGCACGTGAAATATCAGTAGGTCGGAGTTAAGAAAAATATTCATGGTAGAACGTCATCAATGTAATAAATCAGGCGTGCCCAAAAAGGTGACCATTCTTGTGTGACGTCCTTGTAAATGGGGCTTTTCTGGAATTTTATCTGTGGAGAATAAACATTCTTGACTGACTTAACAATGAATCACGAACCACATGATAGGTCATGTGACGGGTCATAAGTCACATGACGAGGCATTCCCAGAGATGTGTCAGTTGTGTGTTCAGGGTCGAACTCGCGATGTCGACAGAGTGACATTGACATGTGTCAGCAACTGAAGGATTTGTAGTAGATAACAGTGCTATTAATAGGTCGAGTGCAGGAAAGATCTAGTTTGACGATGACAGAAAAGGGTTGTATGATGCCCTCGAAGTACAGGGTCAGCTGGGAAGTCCATGTATTCATTTTATTTTTTCATTTTTTTTTTTTATAGATTTTTGTACCCTAATTGTAACGAGAATCATGAATATTAACTTAAAATATTGTAAAAAGGTGTAAAATTAATTCATTATTGTATTTTATTGTTATTAACTTTAAGGATTTAACCAAGTTTACCGCCATGAGCAAACCACGGTGCATTCATTGTTAATGAAACGACATGACAAGACACACCTCAAAGATGGCCGCTGAATGCAATCCATGTATATCATGCCCTGTGACGTCATACGAATGAGCAACCGACGGGCAACCCAAATAGTTTAAACATTTTTTTTTCACGTTATTTTGCCCACAATAAACAGTTTATGTTGCCACTTTTAGTACACCAATCACATTTGAAGAGATTCACATGCAGTGCGGACGGGCCAGTTTGCTGAAAGATGGCATCACGTGACCAAAACATCTAATCTGTAAACTTAATGTAACATGGTCTAATATACTGATCATCTCCATTTTTTTTTGCTTGTTTACAGTTACGTTGATGCGGTTCTCTTCACAATACTCCCCATCGCGACCATAGTACTAACATTCACCTCGGGTGCCCTGGTGTCGCCCTTCAAAGCCCCTTACCCTCAGGAGCTCCGGGTACTGTTCAGCGTCGTCTGCGGCATCTTCATCTTTCTGCTGTTCCGAGTCTGTCTGGTAGCCAAGAACAGCCCCATCAAATACATGAACATCATCATATATGTCGTGTCAGTTGCCGCCTCATCTACCGTGTTGCTGACCGGAGAGGACGCCAGCATTGGCCTGATTCTGGCAGTCTCCACTGGCGACATCCTCCTCCTGAACCTTGGCAAGCTGACGGAGGCCGTTGTCCGGGTGTCTGATGAACGCTACCAGAAGTTGGTGGTGTTCCTGGCAGCCTACGCCTGCATGATCTTCCGTGCCTTCCTGCCTCTGGCCTGCATCTCCATCTCGCTGGTCAACGGCAAGCCCTTCAACATGAGCTACCCGTCCATCTTCTTCTTCTTCGTTGGTATCCTGTTCTTCGGCGCCATCAACACCTGGCAAGTCAACGTGGCGCTCTCCAGACTCTGCCGACGTAAGAGGGAGACGGTGGTGGAGGTGCCTTACCGTCAATTCGGTGGCAGTGACGGGGAGCCCAAGCCCGAGGACATCGCCGTGGCTAGTTCCTCCATCGAGGTACCGCCCTCCTACAACGAAGTCTGCGGAGACAATTCGTACTTGCCAGCATTCCTCCCAAGCCCGTCGGACAGGTGTAATGACACAGCGCCCGCTGTCGGCGCAGGAAGTGAACTTCTCACCCTCGATGCCAGTGCATTGTCTGATATGGCAGACATGCGAAACTCATCAGTAGAACTAACTTCAGAGACTGTTTCTGACACTGCAGCATTGGTATAAAGTCAGTTCACTAGTTAAGATTGAAAAAAAACCTTGAAATATCGAAGTATAATATGGTCTTTGGCACTTGCCAAGTCAACACTGTGGTTAATTATTTTAAGTTATTTTAATTTGCAATATAAAGAGCCCTGTTTTACTTAGGCGTCTTATTGGTTATCAATACTCAATTCCATAGCGTATAGCTAAGGGCAGAAATGATCACCTAATGTGCTTACAACACTAACAAAGAAATTCTGCCCTAACTGGTGCTTACCGCGGTGGAATAATTATACCGTTAAAGCGGAGAGAATTCTGATAATTTGTTTTAATAGATGCTTGCTTACGTAAGCAGAGCCATGACAGTTGGAAGGGATCATTTTATTGCCTTGTTTCAGACATGATTTTGAACATTGTGTGGGCATGAGAAGCTGCACTGATTTTTTTTTTTTTGTATAGCGTCATTGTATTAAAAGAACGAAGTCTCACAGGAACTCATACAGTATTGAAATGTAAATGTTACGTGTTGATGAGTTGTACTCCTAACTTATTGTACGTAACTGTAATATGTTTTGAATATTTTGTGCGAATCGGCCTTTCCGATTTCAAAGGGGAAAAATGACTTTATCTTGTAAATAATTAGTGGTTTTTTTTCCAGGGAATTTGCAGAACCGTGTCTATATACTTTGTACAGGCAAACTGTCACTATTTATGTCACAATCTAGTCGTTGCCCTGTCGGCAATGAAACTTTCACCTGTCAATGTTGGTAATGGTAGTTTTAATTACTCTATCAAACGCAACGATGTAACAGGATGTATTTCCACACAAACAATTGTGGACGATTTACTTTACTAATTTATGTGAAATAACAACCGTTTGTAACGTATTTCTTCGCTGGGAACCAGTGCAATCACTGATGTATATCCGGTCAAAGAAAAAAAACAACTTAACAATTATTGCCTGGATGGATATAAAAAAAACAGAAAAAAATATTGCAACCTGACGCCACTTTTCTCTTCATATATCATCTCAATGAAGGTCAGTCATTGCAAAAGTGATGAATCTGGGACTGAGAAACATTTCCAATTTTGTAAGGAATGATACTTAGTAAATGTCTTGTCTCTCCATAGACTTTGTGCACAACCGCTGAAGTAGCGTCAGGTTGCAACATTTTTTCCCAAAAAAATTGACAATAATTGCCTGGATGGATATACCCGACTAAGCGCTGCTTGATAATTTGTTTTAGAAATTCTTGAAATTATAGTTTTTTGGGTTTTTTTTTATTTGTATTTTCAAGATTGGTAAGATATAAAATGATCAATAAAATGAAGCAGACACGCCCTTCTGGGTCACGTAGAATCGAGTCTGTGTATGCCTTTACACGTGAATACATCATAATTTCTTGTGCCAATATTAAGGCGAATTCAACGTATATAGTGGCACATCTGGGGGCCGTCGGGGGGGGGGGGGGTGGGCAACCACCACCTCTCAAACAAAATTAAACACACAAAAAACTGTGGCAAATATAAGACAAAGGGGAAGGATAGACACGCTGTATATAGAAAGGAAGGAGCCCTGCCCTCGGTCAATAAGGAAAGATAGAATTTAGCGTAATTAATGCAAGTCCTGAATTTAGGGACAAAACGGCGTGCTAAATTGATTATCTATAACAATAGCTTGTCTTCATCGCGACATCACATTTAACTCGACCCCCCCCCCCCAAAAAAAAAATATATATACATATATATACATGTATATTATAACCACACTCGTGTGGACAGTAACTCAAGAAATATCTGTTGCATTAAATTGATATGGCGTTTGTTTATAACCTGATGTGATATTTTAAAGAGGCCCAATCTCATGAAGAATGGTCAAGCAATACAGTTTTATATATCCAAAACAATAGTGTGCCTTCAGCGTGAAAAGTACAATCTGATAAAAAGGTTAACTTTAATGCAACCATAGTTTTGGATGTGCGCCCTCTGCAGGTCACTAGCCATGCACAGTGTGAAATAATTATCAACATCACCTCGCGTTGTGGGGCCAATAACTCAAGAATTATCTGTTGCATGAACTTGAAATTTCGTCTGTTGATTGCTTGTGATGTTTAAAATTCGGCGTAATAATATCTAGAAAAATTGTCATGCAATTAAATTAATATATAGCAAACAATAGCGTCTATAGCGCCAAACCATATTTAATTCAACAAAAACAACACAATCGTTGTGGGGCCAATAACTCAAGAAATACCTGTTGTATTTGATTGAAATTTCGGCTGTTGATTATTTGTGATGTGTTACAGACAGCGCATAAATATCAAGAAGAATGGTTCAGCAGTTAAGTCAATAGCTAATAAAGCTAACAAGGTCACGGTGATCACTGGCATCTGCAAGATAGAGGGCGCTATAACAAGAACACTGTCTCATAAAATGGATATTTTACTTCCCTAAAAACGGTATCGTAGAGGGCGCTCAACAACCATCCATACGATGTTGTTTGGGTGGAAAAATCGTGTGGCACCCGTCATTGATCTCATGGGCACCGTCCACATTATGTCTATGCGTCCACAGACATCACCGTATTTTTGTAACGGCGTCCTCTATTTTATAGCTGGCGGTCGCGCGCGTTGCCCGCAGACAGTGATCAACGTCAATCAAATGTTTATATTAAAAATTTCGTCTTTGAGAACTTGTGCAGTCTCAAGAGGTCGGTCACATTTTCCCGCGTGAAACACTTCTAGCATGTGTTCCCGAACAGTCTCCGGACAAGGGACAACTAGGTTCCAAAAATCGCAGACAAATTTGTCCCCCAAATCGCGGGCAACCATGGAGAAATAAGTTCCATGGGGCAACTTAGTACATGTACATGTATATGCACGTTCGCGAACTCAGGCTCCCGCCGCTGACGATTGTCCCCCAAATCCGGCGAGGACAACTTGATTGCCTGTAATGTCGTAAAGTAGCCTGGTAACGCGTGAGAAACAGTTTGTCTTCAGTGCGAAATATTTTATCCGAATTAAAAGTACATTATTTTGATTCTACACACACAAAAAACAGCGCACGCTTTGTTGGACGATTACCCGATAACTCAAGAAAAATCTGGTTTATTGAAATGGTACTTGTTGATTACCGGTTATGTTTGAAAGAAGCATTTCAAATATCATGAAGAATGGTCGGTCAATAAATTTTATCCAAAACAATAGCGTGTCTTCAGCTAGAAAATAACAATGTACAATCTGAAAAAAAGGAAACTTTAATGCAACCGTAGTTTTGGATGTGCGCCATCCACCAGCCATGCATTTATATCGACATCACACTTGTTGTGGGACCAGTAACTCGAGCACTATCTTTTGAATGAAATTGAAATTTCAAGCAATTAAATTGATATGTAATATTCAAAACAACAGCGTGTCTTCACGCGAGATCACATTAAATGCAACAAACAAACAAACAAAAACACTAGTGCGGACAATAACTCAAGAAGTGAATATTAATTAAAGAGGCGCTCCTAGCTAGCTAGCTGGAGGTGGTCAAGCAATACATTCTATTACATGTATATCCAAAATGCCTTCACTCAGCCCATTCACTTGTTTTTGGAGGTTTTAAGCTGGGTTTCGTTGTTTATGAAGTTTTGAATATGTTTTAAGGCAATATTTAACATTTTAATAAATCAAAATGATTTTAATTTGAATATGGAGCTATGATTTGACTAACTTTGTAGTGACAACTTGGGCCAGGATTAGCTAGCAGTACACACTGTTCGAATGAGGGCGCTATTCAACTTACCAGCCGCGAATTTTGTTCACATAAATTTACGGTACGTCTGCTCACCTAACACACCAAATAATCTTGAATTTCACCCGAGTTCCCTACTTTATGGAGAACAGAAAGTCGTTTTTTGACGTGTGGGTATCCCGGTAGTCATATAAAAACGTCATATGACAAAATGAGGTAAGAATTGAGACGTAAATGTGACATATTTCATTGGTTTATGTTTGTTTTGGTGCGGTAGAGGGAGTCGCCATCTTGGTCTGAGATTTTGAGGTCTGTGTAGTTGAGGACACCCCCTTTTGTGTTATTCTTAAAAAAAGTTTTGTCGTTTCCCCAAATGTCTGCAACCTAAGGAAATGTTCTCTTAATTATACTAACTAACAAAATTGGAAATGTTTTTCAGTCTCATACCAACGTTGCTTCGTTCTTTGCGTGGCGTGGCCCTGCATTCTATAGTTGCTCCGGTGATTATAATGTATGTCAATTGTCATGTATGTAGTAAAATGGCCCCTCCCCTCTTTAGTTTTTGGTCTAACTAACTTTAGGCCAAATAAAAAAAAAACATGTTTAGCGTCCTGCCTTTTTGGAAAAAAAAGGAAGCAAGAGGCCCTTTTTATAAATAAATCATTAGTATCTCCACTGACATACGCAAACAAGTTTGTCAGCAAATAAATTTCCTATTTTTGTGGAATTTACAAGGGTTCATTGGGCACACGTTTCGAAAACAATTCAGAAAAATCATGCCAAATTAGAATTTCCCTTGAACTTTAACTCAGGTTTTACGACAGGTAATCTTTAGAACTTGATCTCTCTTGTCTGTATATATATATTTTCCGTGTTCAGTATTTCATTTTGAGATTGCACTACTCTTTTTTTGGAGTGATACTATGCAGTGTGTTTCCCTGAAATGTTCTACAGTAAAAACGAGGTCTGTCGCCCGCAGCCACCACACATGCACTACTGAATTCTGGCCAGTTTTCCGTCTTGACTAGCATTGTGCATATGGTGCGCACTACCTGAATTTTCCATTATTTTTAAAGAATTATCGAACTTAAATATATTGACAATAATTAAGGTAGGTTTTATTCACTTTTTGTGGGCATTTGTTTGTATAGCTTTCGTAGCGCAATGGAAATAGTTGAGGCTAAAACTTCGCATATAATTGAATACCCCATTCAATCAGCATAAAAAAAAATTGGCCAAAACAAAAAACAATTCCGACCAACCGACCCTATTTTTGAAAGGCATGTAATCGGAAGCAGAAGTATTTTTGTTTTGGGCCTAATATATTTTGTTATATAGGCCTACCTGGTTACTAACCTGGAATATTCATCCCATTTCGGTTTTTTTCTTCTTCTGCATTCTGACACTCGCTGTAGTCTCAACCTGTGATGGAAAGCCAACCAAGAGGAAATATGAAGAGGTAACCTGCAAGAAAGATTTTGGACACTGGTGCATAATGTTGACTCGTTCGGACTCGGTGTAACAATGTCTTCATCAGAGGTCAGTAAGCCGAAGCCATTTGGGTGCAACATCTGCGGCAAAGCCTTCCCCCGTAAGTGCAATTTGGTACGTCACCAGTCAGTCCACAGTGGCGAAAGGCCGTACGTGTGCGACATCTGCGGCAAGGCTTGTTCACAGCAAAGTAATCTCCGCAGCCACCAGCGGGCCCACACTACTGCCCAGCAGATGTTCATATGTAATGTTTGCGGCAAATCTCTCCCGCTCAAGAGTAGCCTTCGCAGGCACATGAGGGTCCACACGGGCGAGAGGCCCTTCGCCTGCGACATCTGCAACAAGACCTTCCCTTACAAGACCAACCTGAAGGACCATCTGCGGAAACACACCAACGAGAAGCCCTTTGTTTGCAGTATCTGCGGGCGGGCCTTCCTCCGTCGGGCATGCCTCACGCGCCACGAGGTGGTCCACACAGGATTTAAGCCATTCATCTGTGGTATTTGCGGCAAAGCCTGCTCTCAGAGAAGCATTCTACAGAATCATCAGCTGGTCCACACACAAAGTCCAATTGTAGACTGTGAAGTTTGTGGCAAGTACTTCTCATCACAGGAGCGCCTACTAATTCATCAAGAGAGTGTCCACTTCACATCTGAAGCAATTGATCATGGGGACTTCCCTCAGAACAGTAGCGATACCACTTCTCAAGATTAATGTTTGTAGAGAGTTTTTCTAACGCTATCCCTTTTCCCTGAAGCTTAAACATTGCTTAGTTAAAAATGCTTTAAAATCTGAAATCTTTTGGGGAACGTTTAAGACAGTGTTGATGTTCTAGTACCCCAATTAACAAGTGGAGGAGACGTTAACAATACAGCATTGGCATTGAGATTGCCTTTTCCCTTTACATGATGAATGTACTTGAAGAGTGGCCGGGCAAGAAATGAATTCAACACTCGGAAGTGACAAAACTATAACTAGCATGTACTTGGAGTGTTAAAAGAGGAATGTTGCGGAGAATTTTGCTTTCTGAATTTGCAATAGTGAGCATACTAAACTGAACCAGTAACTTGTAAAAAAAACCCAAAAAACTCTCATTGAAACAGTCTCCTCCCACCCTTGACCTGTTGAAGAGAACCTGCTTCTATGTGTGTAGCATTTAAGAAGGAGGCCATGTGAAGATTCAAGGTTCATCATCCCACCCAAGAAGGCAGTCAAACAGTTGGCTCATTCTGTAAAGCCGGAAATCAGAACTCCATGTCTGCATCAAGCAAGCAGTGGCACACCATGCAGAAGACACTAAGCGGTAAGCACCCTAAAAAATGTAAGATTCAGCCGTGAACCTTTCCTGGACACAGGAGGACACATAAAAAGAGGAACGTTCTGATTATCTTCTAAGCAATTACAGATTTATTTTAGAATGGCTGTAATCAAATCTAGCTGCCAGTGTGTTTGCATACGGCAAGCATCATGACTGATGGCATACATGTACATATTTCCATATATTGTGGTACCCGGAACCACACAAAGCAGACATTGGTCATGAATGATTTGAAGTTTCAAACATTCTCTGAAAAGCCTTTTCATACTTCGTAAAGAGCACTGAAAACTGAGATTCATTTTACCCAAGATGCCATACCCAGCTACTACCCCTCCCCTCTTCATTGACAAATTTCGACCCTATTTTAATCCCGTACGAATAGACCTTAGCCATAATGATACTATGCTTTGTTAACACTTTAAAGTTTGGGACGATCATCCCTACCTGGCCACTATAAAGCACACATTTACACAATGGCAGAGTCATTACATTTCAGGTTTATTTACAGTTGATTCACAGAAACCTTGCTCTAACAGGACCACGGTTGGACAAACTCTGCATACATTTGTACTTCATGTGTATCATTCTATCCAACACGTTTCTCCTGCAGATAATTGAAAGCAGCTTTCATATTTGCTTGCACCCCAAAGACTCTGGATGTACATGAGCAGCAATGGTACAATAAAAGCAGCAGATTCATAACGAAACATCAAGGTAGGTTGAATTCTCATAAGTCCCATTTACAATTTGGCCTTGTTACAAAAAAAAAAGGAAAAAAAAAACATGTCAGGAATTGTATTGAATTCAAATGTGTTTATAGGATTCCCTTCATGCATTCCTTTAAGAAGAAAAAGTCACCGAGGCGTTATTTTATAAAATATTTGGGACAATTTGTGAACAAGTTTATCCGCAATAAGCTCATCGCATCGGTATAAGTTGAAGAAATCTGAACGACTTTATCAGAATCTTCCCCTATGGAAGTTGCAAGCATTGCTTGGATTCGACAATATGATTCCAATGCAAGTGCTCCTAATCTTGCTAATAATACTCCATACAGGGTGGACTAGTGTTACATTAATGGCCTTTGTTTCAAAACCACTGAACCCAATCAAACAAAAACTTCACACACAGGGATGTGATTTCTCCGTTTTTTTTCCGGAAATCCGTTTTTTTGGGCCTCAAAAGTCCACCAACGTGAATCGTGTGAATCCATTGAGAAAATAGGGGGTAGAATGTGCTAATTAATTATTCATAATGAGTTTTGCTTGCCGAAATATCCGAAATTTACTTACGGACATTACTTTGTTGATCGATATATCTTTTGATGGCTCGGAGTGTTTGTGTACGTATGCTTCCAACATGGCTGCACCCAACAAGTCGATACTGTCGCAAGAGATTTGTCAGTGCAACTGCGAGAGCTTGATAAAGAAGTGAAAAATAAGTTCTGGTAGGAATGGTTTCGGGACTCCGTTATTATTGACAGGCATCAGCATGAATTTCAAGAGTGTTTCGATAAAATAGCAACCCGGTGCTGGCAAGGTTTTTTGCAATGTTTGCAACGACATTATCAACTACGCGTCGAGTGGATAGAAATCGCTCGAGTCGTATCCCATGTGAAACACCCAAAGCACACCAAAGCATGGCAAATACGGCGAGGTAACATGAAAATGCATGGTTCTCAAATTTGAGTACAGAAGAAACTTTATAAGAACAAGAGTACATTTTAACAAATGAAGGAAAATTCTTCTTAAAATTAAAACAAATTCTGCTCCAAAATTTCAGAGGAAAGTGCCCAGTAATCGCCTCAGATTGCCTCAGATTGCACCACAATATTTTTTGTAAATTTACAATATTTTTTGCCAATTCGCTTTCGTGTAAAAGCTCAGTTGCAGATGTTCCACTAGCTTACCTGGCAACATTAGAATAAGTGTTGTCAAGCATATACAACACCTGACTAAATCTCGGTCATCTGATTGGTTGGTCGTTGATCACGTGTCATTGAATTATTCATCCCAACACACGGGGCGGTCGCACAGCAAAAATAGAAGTTCTATTCAACGGTAAATGGAAGTTCCCTTGCACGGTTATACTTTTTGGCAGCTCTGACCAATCAGATGACAAGGATTTATTCGGGTGGTGTATAAAACAAATCATGAATGTTTCACATTCGAGCAATGGAAAGAATGCTTTCGGTCGGTGATGTCACCTCATGAAAATAATTTTTTTTTTATTATTGTTTTCTTACCATTGCATTCATAAACATTAATTATTTGTATTAACTTGTCTATGCTTGCCAGGATATTTTCTTTTAAATCGGGCCTCAGTTTCAAATCGTTTCACATGTTATCCAGGTTAATGCTTTTACTATCAGAAGCCAATGATATAAAAGCCTCATCCATCGATCTAAATACTTACAACTTTTAAAATACCCATAGAATGATAAGACCATCAAGCAAATTAGCCTTCATTTGTAGGTTAGATAAACTTGTGTCACCAAGTTAGAGCCAGCATCTCTGCAGCATAGATGTCTGTCATTAGTATTTGGTGACTTTCTCCTGAAAGTTATGAGGCTAGAGTCTTTGGATCAGATTTTTGTACCAGTCAGATAATAAACTCCTGAGTCCCTGCCGAAGATCGCTGTTTCTCAGATAGTAAATGATTACGTTCAGCCATCCATTTGACAATATCAGAGCTTGTGTGAACATATAGGCCAAGTAACGGTCATAAGGCTGCCATTTGATGTGTGAAGCTATTGCCAACCTTATCAGTGTAGGAATCCAGGTGATGATTACAGTCCCTGTTATGATGATGATGGTGGTGGTTGATCTGGTGTTTATTCTCTGCCCACCTTGACCATTGCCCGCTTGGTTTTCAGCAGCAATGCGTCGGGCTTGATTGCGAGCTATCATGGCGATGTGTGCATACAGGGTGAATATTGCTGCTAGTGGAACAACTAATATTGTAACAACTAAATATCCTCTCCAATCATATGGGTCTCCTAGGCAAAGTCTATGAGGACCATCTTGTGAAATTGTAGATGTTTTATATGTCCCATACATCACAACGCAGGATATGATTGTTACAGCCCATGTGCTGCATACAATTATCTTTGATCTGAACACAGTCATGATTGAAGGGTAACGTAGTGGATGGGAAATTGCAATATAACGATCCACAGTCAGAAGAAGAAGAGAATAAATAACCAGCCCGTTAAATAAGTATATAGTCACACCGCTTACCACACAGAGAAAATCCCCCAGCAACCAAGATCCAGCAAACAATTCTGTTGAAGCAAAGATCCAGCAAACACTGTTGCACAGATCAGACAGGGTGAGAGAAGCCATGAATATTTTGGTTGTTGGCTGGATGCTGGTGACACGACGTAAGGTGAGAAGCATCAGTGGATTCAGTAAGACGCACAGAATGATTGCAAGTACTGCCAAAACCGCTACCAAAATCACCAATGTTTTTGGTTCCAGTTCATTTTCAATATTGTCTCCTGTTGCGTTAGCAGTGACAGTTACTCCTTCAGTTGATGACCATGTTGTTTCCATGATGAGCAGAGGTGATTCTTTTCCTATGGTACATACTAGTAGACGCAAAGGGAATACAATTTGTCTTCTCTTTTGCTCCCAGCATCGAACCAAATGGCTTTGTCCTGCAGCAGTTAATGATTCCTGTACAGTGCCTGTGGGTTTAGATTTGCCATGCAGCTTTGTGCACGTCTACACTTACAGTTTGATGATAGATAGATCTTGACTGATCAAAACTCAATTATTAACTGGTTTTCTCTGTCGCTTCCTTCTCAAAATTCACATATATATGGCTCACTTATTGGCTTATACGCTAACTGTCAATCAAGGCACATCCATAATAACATCTTGATGGGAACTGTAGACGTTCATATCAAAATGTAATAATCTCCCTCAGAAAAAAAGCCATTAAGAGAGATCAGTTAAATGCATCCTCAGATGGCTTATAGCCGGATCTTCAGACAGGAGTCAGTTTGGTTAAGATTGCCTAATGAGTTGTCAGTCTGTACTTTGAACTGTTTCATCAGTGTTCTCGTGAGAGCAACCATGAATATTTTGGTTGTTGGATGGATGCTGGTGACACGACGTTAAGTGAAAACCATCATTGTAAGATTCAGTAAGACACATAGAAAAATGTGATTGCTGTCACAAAGTTGTTAACAAAAACCCGAAAGGTGCGATCATACCCAACACTGTCTGCTGTAGAGTTTGAAATGCGATTGATTCCTCCATCCGGTGAATAATTACTTACGATGGCTGCAAATGTCAGTTTCTCGTTTCCTTTGTTTTGTAGGATGGTTAATGACACTGTGTTCAAGTGATGTTGTCGCTTGTCTGGTAGAAACGGTGCTTTCAGGACTCGCCAAAAATCTCTTACCACTGGTTGTTAATTCACATGTGATTCCAGTTTCTCTTCCACCCAATATAGCAAAACTGTGCCTACATCATTACGTGCATCCATCTAACAGCAGTTGGTTGTCCCTTAATTGTGTGTGCACTCATTGCTGTTCAATGTCTCTTGTGCTGTTTGCCATTACGAACCGGTTGCTCATGTATGTAATTAAGATGCTTTCTATGTAATTAAGAGCTTTTACGGGCAATCCACGATAGAGTGTTTTTCCCTTCAAAGAGACAACTCTGAAGTACACATAGGTACAATGTACCAATCATCCATCTTGTTTCCTGCTTTTTGCATCCGTTGAACCCCTCTCATAATTTTATTTGCCATGGGAGGGACTGACAAAGGCAAACAAATCATGGAGTTAAACACAGAGCACTGTTCCTGCGCACGCAAGCCATATAAGTCTTTCCTAACAAAATTGAAAATGTTTTTCAGTCCCAGATTCATGTCATCATTTTTGCAATGAATGACCTTCATTGAGATGATACATGAAATAAAAGTGGCATCAGGTTGCAACATTTTGTTCCAAACATATTTGGCCTATTATCTTTTCAATGTTGCTTTCCACTTAATAAAGGAATGTTTCTCCCAACAATTTAAGAGAAAACTAACAGCATGCAGCTTTCATCTTGCTTCAGATCTCTAATGTCCCACTTTTGATTGCCAAGTCCTTACACGTATACATGAAGATATGGTGTTCATTAAAAATGTATTTTTATTCACATCTTAATAAGAAGTAACATCGGTATTGAATGTGTACATTTGATTTCTTTTTACAACTTCCAGTAAGTAGAATTATGTACATAATAGTTAAACAGTAATATCATCATACACATTCAGTGGTTAAAACAAATGTGTCCCAGGGCCCTAATTGGTTAAAAAAAAAAAAAAAGTACACATGATTCCTGAACACATTACTTTCAATAACCAGTTCACGTCGGATGACATGTATACACGCAAAGGTTTTGCGGTATTTGGAACAGAAGACGGATATACACGCAACGAGCGAGGCCAGAAATATCTGTCAGCGACCCACTCGCGGCGAGCGAGGCCTGAAATATCAGGGCGTGCTACCCGCAGATGATGGTGTGAACCCGTCTGGCATCGAGGTTCGTGAAAAACAATCCCGCGCCTGGGTCCGGTCAATGTCAAACTAATCCCGGCGCGAACTGGTTAACCTGATGGGGAATGTGTATGTTCAGAGTCATTTTGAGCACAACGCACCATGCATACAGGGGCGTCAATCGCTTCTCAAAAGTTGGGGGGACATACCTTGATCAGAAATAATGCGAGTGCGAAGCCCTTACAGCGTGGGGTTCGGGGCCCGCTTAAGGGCCCTGAAAAAAATTCGGATTCTAGATGCTCATGTGGTGTGATGAGGCAATTTCTGACCACTTTAACCAATATTTTCTAAGCAAAAGATAATGATTTAAACATCATTTCGAGGTTGAAGTCATTGAATAAGCTATTATATTCTCAGCTAAAGGCGTGGGGTTCGGGGCCCGCTCAAGGCCCCGAAAAAAAAAATGATTCTAGATGCTCTGTGGTGCGATCTGAGGCAATTTCTGACCACTTTAACCAATATTTTCCCAGCAAAAGATAATAATTTAAAAATCATTTGCGAGGTTGAAGTCATTGAATAAGCTTTTATATTCTAAGCTAAAGGCGTGGGGTTCGGGGCCTAAGGGCCCCGAAAAATTTTGGGTTCTAAATGCTCTGTGGTGCGATCTGAGGCAATTTCTGACCACTTTAACTAATATTTTCTTAGCAAAAGATACATTGTAGTACATAATAGGGCCCTGTATGAGGCACGACTTCAAAAATCTGGGGGGACATTTGATATTGTGTCCCCCACCCTTCAAAAAGTGGGGGGGGGGGGGGGGGGGGACATGTCCCCCTGTCCCCCCCAGGATTGACGCCCATGCATGCATAGTGCATGTTTTTTGCATGTTTATTTTAATACTGTGTGCAAAAAACACGTACTCGTACATGTACACATGTATGGTGCATAGTACACAAGATGACTCTGAACGTGCCATCTACATGTACCATGCAATTACTGTTCATGAACAGAGTCTGTAAGCCCATTCGTGTATTCAATTTGTCCATTGACTGAGCATGTTCAAATTTTGATGTTATCCTTTTTGTACACAGAATCCTCATGAACTTGACTGGCTTGTGTTTATTACTGTGGAGCTACACAACATATCGAATCTGGCTGGCTACAGAACGGAGAACTTGGTAAGTAAAATTGAGTTACTCAAAACTCCATTTATCAAAGAAATAAATTGGACCAAAAATGAGGGTGTTGAAAATGCCATGGCCCATACCACAGCAGTCAGTTCTTCAGTTTTCATGATACGCCAAGAGTTTGGCCTCCTGTGCTGTGCTTCCCATGTTTTTTTTTAAGGTAGCGCCAAGGTTTCTTAAGCCGGCCTCAGGTTGACCCACGATTTGCTTGCGCCACGACGGAACCATCGGCATCAAGCAGAAAAATAATGCTCAGGTCACAAAACTGAGAAATCGTGTGATTGTCTCGGAACACGTCGTAGAAGTTGAAATTTTTCTACTCTTGCGACTGGTGATTTGTTTTAGCGCCAACTGATGCCGATCGTTTTAATATCATCGCAGTTGCACTCAGGTTGCACAAAATCGGCAACTGAGTTGTTCCTGACGGTCGTAGCTCAGATGCAGCTTGATCCTGAAACTTCAGTCGCCGACTGATTTGTGTCGTTGCAAGGTCGACCTGAGGCCGGCTTTCCACATACATGTTTTTAGAGGCTTTGTACAGTTGAGTATTCGTATTGGTCTGTGCTTGTTTATTATAAATGTGCATGGATTATTGAACAATACCCTATGTGGAATCAAAAAGTAATCTCAAGATTTAAACTAGCATGTCCTTGTCAAACAAGTTACTTTATAAATACAAAAAAGTATTAAACTTCTCCTGAATACTAAGGTAAGAATCTTTGGACTAGAGTGTGATGCCAGTTAGACAGTAAACTGCGTAGTGCCATGCGAAGATCCTTGTTTCTCAGATAATAAATAATCACATTCATCCAGCCATTGGACAACACCAGAGCTTGGGTGAGCATGAAGGCCAAGTACTTGTTGGATGTTCCCCATTGGTTTTGTGAAACTATCGCTAACCTGATCACTGATGGAATCCAGGTGATGATTAAAGTCCCTGTTATGATGATGATGGTGGTGGTTGATCTGGTGTTTATTCTCTGCCCACCTTGACCATTGCCTGCTTGGTTTTCAGCAGCAATACGTCGGGCTTGATTGCGAGCTATAATGGTGATATGTGCATACAGGATGAATATGGTTGCTAGTGAGATAATGATCACCGTAATGGTGAGAAAAACCCTCCAGTCATATTTTCCTCCGAGACAAACTCGACTGAGACCATTCTGTACAATAATAGAATATGCGTGAATCCCATAAATTAGAATACAAAACAAGATTGATACAGCCCAGGTGCTGCATACAATCAGCTTTGATCTGAACACACTCATCATTGAAAGGTACCGAAGAGGTCGTGAAATAGCTATATAACGATCCATAGTCAGAAGTAACAGAGACAGAATACTCAATCCATCAAAAAGAATAGTACAGACGTCACTTGCTGCACAGAGAAAATCCCCCAGCAACCAAGATCCGGCAGTTATTTCCACTATTCTAAGGATCCAGAATGCACCATTTAATAAATCAGACAGGGTGAGAGAAGCCATGAATATTTTGGTTGTCGTCTGGACACTGGTGACACGACGTAAAGTGAAAAGCATCAACGGATTGAGAAGGAAAATCAGAAGGACCGTGAGTGTGTTAAAAATGGTAACAAAAATATACAGCGTTGGCGATTCCTGTTCATTCTCAATAGTATCTGCTGTTGAGTTTGAAGTGACATTTCTTCCTTCATTGGGCGACCATGTAGTTTCCATGATGACCAGAGGTGTTGGTGTGCCAGTTTAAGTTGGCCTTGCTGCTGTCTATCCCTTATATTCTTTTTTATGAACAAAAGGATCAAGTTTTTTATGTACATACATGTAATTCCTGTCCCAGTGGATCCATCACTAAAAGTGTCAAAACAATATTGTTGGCATCCAAATCTCTTGCAGAGTCAAACAGTTGAAACAACTATTAACCAGTTCACGTCTGAGACCGCGATAACACGCACTTGCTGTTTTTGTGCACAGATACAGCTGATGGATTAAGACGTCCAGATTGCCTCTTCTTGCCTCACCTCTTAACACACTGATCCCTCGTGCCTTTTGTACACACACACAAAGTCCGTGGAGGCGGACTGTGTGCTGTTCATTGTGTGGGTTGTTCTGCACCACTTATTGCTGTACAAAATGTATGCTCCTGTGCACACCCCGTGATACCGAAACATATGAGGTTACAGCAAGAAATATCAGACACATACTGTTGAAATCACTCTTGCGAAACAGTATTGTGGCATTTGGCTGATCAGAAGTTGGCTGGGAAATTTTTCCTTTTAAAAATTCAAAATGTTGGGCAAAAATAAAGCGGGCGTTATATGGTCAATTTCTCCATCAATAGCTGTAAAACTGCACCTTCATGTTCATGTGTACAGTATCTAACGTCACTTGGCTGATAACCTCCAGCTGTCTCTGGTCTCTTACGATGCTTGCCATCCTGAACAGTGTACATGGAACACACCAGCTTAATGTGCAGGCTTCATTATTTTTTTAGGGCAGTTCCTTGATGGAGTGGAAGTTTTATTCATAGTGGACCATCCAATATTGCACTTTGGACACCTTGTTTTTTTGGTAATAGCAGGCAACCATGTCAGATCAATTAGTCGAAGGATGGAGAAGAAAATGTAGGTGGATGCCGGCCTTAATTTTGACCCAAGTACACCTAATTTGCATAAATTGTTAATCCCTGCAGTGTAATACATTTATTTGCATATTTGCTTTTCCGCTTGACAGCGGAAAAGCATTGTTTTAGTTCCTTTTTTTCCTTTCTATCCCCAAATCCCATAGCAGGCCTTCATTTTAAAGGAGCGCGATCGCACTCCTTCGCGCTCCTTAACACGGTTTCTGGCACGCGAATAATAGCGCTCCTAGGTAAATTTGTAAGCTTAATATTGTCGACTCCAGTTTTTGTCTACATAAAAGCCAACAGTAAAATCTTGCCAATCCAAATTTTATATACTTGATTTCTTAACTTGTCATCCCGATGTTTGAACGATTTTGTTGCAAAAAAAAATCAACAAAAGTAAGTCGAATACCCACGTAAAATCCACTACTCGGCACGCACCGCGTAGCACCAGCGCGGCGAGTATGACCCGGTAGACAATACAACCACTGTACATGTGTCTATCCCATACATCATGGATACATTAGCCATTTTCTTTTCGTCAACGACATGTACATGTAGCACGTTCCATTATGATCAAGGTTACTGGCAGGATCGTCATTCAGACGTGCACCGCCGTTAAGTGAATAAAATGAAATAATAATTTTATAAATTAGTTTATAAAACTAAATATATAAACCTCCGATGAAGTGAAAACACAAAACAATTATGAAATGGATGGGCTGAGCAATTAAAACCACCTACTTTGTAATACCAACACCCCTATTTTCGATAAAATGGACGTGCTTCCAAATGGGCAGCCCAAGCACACGTGTTGAGTGTGGTGTGTGGGCGACGGTTCCCGTCCCACGCATAACGCGTACCATTCGACATTTTGTAATGGCATTACTTGTACATTTCTGTGACCTTACTTTCGATCCTTTTATTTTTTGTGCCCAAAACCAAATATTCATATAATTATTTTCCTTTTCTATTTTACCAATTTTGAAGATTTATGTGACAAAAAAAGTATTTCTTTGACAGATGTATGACCGGACTTAAATTAATTGGATTTTTTTTTTGGGGGGGGGCTCTATTCGTCAATTTGGATATGAATTTAGAACCCCTCAAAAACACGGTTACAGCTTCAATTCCTGGGTCATAGCTTCTCAGCACTCGGCTTTAATTTAATCATGGGACAAATGTAAAACCCAATTTATACAATGATAGTAAAAGATCAAGAAAGACTAAAGAACCACAAGTCAACTCCGATTTGTTTTTCATTTTATTTCCACATCAGGATGATTCACAAACAAGTAAAACTTAAACCTATTAAATTGACCTGGATTAAGCACTCAATTTGTAGTGAACAGTCGCATCTGTTTCTCAGTTCTGATGCAAGTGTGTGTGCATGATATGAAAGGCTTCAGGAAATGATTTGGATTCATTTTTTACTTTGAGCACAAAACATGCAAATCGAGCTCCTCGGACTTCCCAGGAGAGCAATTTTGGGTGCTCAAATTGAAATAAAGTGTAATCTACTTAGATAATCTTGATGAAAGCTTCAGGGCATCATTTGAAGAGTGTCACATATTATAATTGAAAGCCTACGGTACTAAGTAAAGCAATTAAAAAAAAAAAACCATTATGTTGAATATTGATTTTGAACATTTGAGCTATTTTTTGATGTATACAATGAAGGATTATTCGCCCGTAGGGCTTCTTTTTTTTCCATTTGAAGCAAGAAAATTATAATAGGGCCTAGTTAAATAATACATGCATGCATCATTGTGTACTGCAAAACATATTACCCTCTGTACAGCGCATGTCTTGCATGTCATGTAGACTCAATTGAAAAAAGTGCAGGAAGACATAAAAACATGGATAAAGCCAGTATCAGCCCATTTTATTTAAGCTGATGAATCAGCTGTAAGCAAAGAATCGTCTGATTCTACACCATTCATTGACGAGCTAGAGTCTTGTTAAGCCGGGGAATATTTGTAAAAATTCAGTAAAGCAATTTGACTGTGTACCAGTACAGTTGATTAAAGGGAAAATACAACATTTGCAAACATCGCAAAAGAAAACGACCAAGTTTTTACGAAATACCTTACAGGATGTTGGTAAATGACAGTCAAAAGCATCCTGTAAAATTATGGCACCTGGTGTGAAGTCATTTTCAAGAAAATTGCATTTTTGTATACATTTCCAACGGTGGTCAGCCGACCACCATAGGAAAAACCTAACTATTTTTCACTACTGCTCCAAATTTACCATTTTCTTCAGTCCAAATTTTGTTCAGAAATGAACTTTTTGAGGAGTTAGTATTGCTATTGGTTTCATGTTCATGAATGGATGCAGGCCAGCTAGACTGGTTCCCTAATACCGTACAATTTTCCGACATCTGTAAATTGATCCATTTCATCTTCAGTGGAGTCAGGGAACCAGACTATTTGAACATTTTTAAGTTTCTTGGATTTTCCAGCATTTTCGAAAACAAAACTTCAAACATGTCAGTGTAACAATCAATTGATCTATTATACTAACTCCTCAAAAAGTTCATTTCTGAAAATTAAAGCAGAAGCCAATGATGTACATTCCCTTTAATGCAAGAATCTTTGTTGCAGACTTTGATGCCAGTCAGATAGTAAAGCACGCAGTGCCTGACGAAGATCCCTATTCCTCAGGTAGTAAATGATAACATTCAGCCAGCCATTGCAAAACAGCAGAACATTTGTGAACATGCCAGCCAGGTACTGTGTCCATGTGTGTTGTGGAGATGGTATCACTATCAGCAACCTAACGACTGTAGGAATCCAGGTGATGACTAAAGTCCCTGTTATGATGATGATGGTGGTGGTTGCTCTGGTGTTTATTCTCTGCCCACCTTGACCATTGCCTGCTTGGTTTTCAACAGCAATGCGTCGGGCGTGGTTGCGAGCTATCAGAGCGATGTGTGCATACATGATGAATATTGATAGAATTGTGACAACAGCTAGAAAAACAGCCAGAGAATTCCTCCAGTCATAATGTCCTATGCAAACATAATAACGGGTATCCAGTGAGACAATACGACTCCCATCAATCCCAAATATTAAAATGCAGAAAATGCTCACTGCAGCCCATGAGCTAAACACAATTATCTTTGACCTGAACACAGTCATGATTGAAGGGTATTGCAGAGGACGGGAAATTACGATATAACGATCCACAGTCAGAATCAACAGAGAAAAAATACTCAAACTGCCAAAAAGGTAGCTAGTGACACCGTTTACCACACAGAGAAAATCCCCCAGCAACCGAGATCCAGCAAACAATTCGGTTAATGCAAGGATCCAGTATAAGTTGTTGCACAGATCAGACAGGGTGAGAGAAGCCATGAATATTTTGGTTGTTGGCTGGATGCTGGTGACACGACGCAAGGTGAAAAGCATCAGTGGATTCAGTAAGACGCACAGAAACATCGCAAGCACTGCCAAAACCTTGACCAAAATCAACAATGTTGTTGAGGTGAATTCATTCTCATCTTTGTCTCCTGTTGTGTTGGTAGTGACAGTTGTTCCTTCATCGGGTGACCATGTAGTTTCCATGATGACCAGAGGTGTTGGTGTGCCAGTTTAAGTTTGCCTTGTTGCTGTCTTTCCCTTAAAAAAGGCATCAAATTTTTATGTACACAATTCCTGTCCAAGTGGAGCCAGTGTCAAAACAAAATTGTTGGCATCCAGATCTCTTGCGAAGTCAAAGAGGTGCTTACTGTCAAACAGCCATTAACCCGTTTGCGCCGGAGGCCGTGATCACAGGCACTTGCTGTTTTTGTGCACAGATACGGCTGATGGCTAATGGATTAAGATGTCAAGATTGCCTCTTCTCGCCTCTGGGTGACGTCTAAACACGTTAATCCTTCGTGCCTTTTGTACATTTACACGCACCGAATCTGTGGAGGTGAAACATACGCTGACCGTTGTGTGGGCCGTTCTACATGGCCTATTGCTGTACAGAATTTACGTTCCAGTGTAAACCCCAGGGTATCGAAACATACAAGGTTTCAGCACAATTTCATCGGACAAATACTGTTGAAATCACTCTTGTGAGTCAGCATTGTGGCGTTTGGCTGTTCATCAGAAGTTGGCTGGGAAATTTTGCCTTTTGAAAATTTCAAAATGTTCAGCAAAAATAAACCCGGCACTAAATTGTTAATTTCTCCATCAAGAGCTGTAGTAAAACGGTGCCTACATTTGTACATGTACACGTGAACAGTATCTATCTAACGTCACTTGACTGATAACCTTCAGGATGCTTGCCATTCTGAACACTGTACATGGAACCCACCAGCTTAATTTGCAGGCTTCATTTCCTGTAGGTCAGTTCCTTAATGGATTAAAAGGTTTTGGGTCAGATCAAACAAGCCAAATTGGAATATTACACTTTGGATGGCATTTTTGGGTAATAGCAGGCAACCATGTCAGATCAATCAGTCAAAAGATCGATCAATCAGTCGTGCTGACGGTTTTCTCGACGAGTTTCTTCCCGTCCGAGCATGCCCGGATGACTACTAAAAACCTGCTTTGTGGCAATATTTGCTGATTAGTTTTGTTCTAAGAACAAACGCGTCCTTGTACTGTGCCTAACTTATGAAATCATAATTATATTTAGCAACAAGCTGACAAGTAGCTACCGTAAAAAAAAAAAAACTTTTCGATTCGCGGCCTGACTTTCATCAAAATTAAGGCTGCGTCCGAATCGGCTGTCTATAGCTCAGAGCTAGGTCTTGGCCTGCACCTATTGAAAACACGCAGTGCCGCGCTGACAATAGACGTAGCCATAGCTCTGGAAGCCCGTTTCGGCCACGGCCTAATGCTCATTCTGAGGACGGATCCATTTATTTTGTAAAGGGGTGTTTCACCCTCTTTTGGGAGATTACATCGTTTTTCGTATACATTTTTTACGAAAAAAAATATATTGCGATGATTAAGAACTTATTCAGAACTTGGGAAAGGTTTCAGACTCCATATAAAGTATTTTTTTGTAATTTTGACACCGTGAAAAAACCCTGAAAATGCTGGTAAATTGTGCCGAGGAAAGCACGTTCAATGCAAATGGTTTAGTCCAAACGTACTACGTCACGCTGGAACAGAGCAGGGTGAGCTCGACCGCGCTAGAAGAATAACATGCAAAGAGCACGCTTTTCATTGAGAAAATCGCAAGGTGCGTATGATTTTTTTTCAAAGTGTATCGGCCTGCTATCCTATTTGCATGCCTGGCTAGAACACTGCAAATAATGAAGAGGAATGCGGTGACTTGTCAACACGGTAAATTCAATCATCCGTGCACTTTAATTTTGCCCTTTCATTGCAAGCATTAGCATTCCTAGTGCTATCAACAAATACTTTACAAACTTTTCCGAACTGACATTTGGGTTCGGTTCGGTTCGAGTTTGGTTCGGAAGGCCAAGCTCGGCTATTTTTAGTTCGGTTTGGCGGTTCAGCTGCAGCAGCAGCACTACTCCAGATTTCATAGTCTTGCCAAACCTCAGTTTTGATGAGCTTCAAATTCACCTAGTTGCTTACTTGCACAGTGACCCTATTAAAACCTTATGGGAAATCATCTGAACAATGATAAGTTTGTGATAATGCCAGCTATTACCAAAAAAATGCCGTGAAATTATTTTCTAGAGAACTTTTCCACATTTGGCTGGCCTACTATCAGAAAGACAAAACTGAATCTGATGCTTCAACGTACATAATTGTACCTTCTTTTCATGCTGACATTGAATTTCTGAGGTGCCAAGATTGCAAAGACGCTAATCTTCATTAAACCTTGATTAAGAAAACATACTTGACAATCCTTACAATGCGTGTGTGGTCCTTTGATTTAAGATGACCCAAATTGTGCTTTGGTGAAAAGAACAAGGATAATTGCTTGACACCTTTCTCATGTTGATAGTGATGGCCGTACACTCAGTTCAGCTCAAACTATGGTTTTCCACAGGGCTCAGTGAATAAACAATGTACTTGTGCAGTATTCCTACGTTAGGCTTGAAGTATATCTTGATTCTCAAACTCTATACAGAAAAACAGAATAAAAGTTGGTGGATGAAATATTGGTATCTAATGCGGAATGACCCAGAAGTACAGCATTCAATAAATCGCTAAAAATTATCAATTACATCTTCATCTACATGTTCATATAACAATGCTACAAGCTTCTCATTGAAGGCTTTATTAAAGAAAGTGTCATATCGATCAACCAGTTTATTTTGCTAGGAACCGTCTTCAATCCTTTTGTGTACAGTATACAAATATAACATGTTTTGAGGGTGGACAGTCGATATTTGCTCGCCGAGGTATTAGAAGTTGACAAACTTTGTCAACTTCCAATACCGAGGGGAGCTAATATCGACTGTCCACCCGAAATAAACCATGTTATATTTGTTTTACTATACCGCATACTTATTCAGTTGCCGAATTTTTTTATATATATATATGCACCTAAAACAAAACTTTCGGAGCAACTTGTACAGCTCACCAAAATAAAATTGTTGCTCAGCTTCACTAGTTCGGTTCGTTTGCAATTATACAGCAACTACATTTGTAAATACAGTTGTTTGTGTACAACTTTCTTTTGTACGGGAGGCATCTGTATTGTCCATACATTTTCTCCAGCACGGCATCATTGAGCTCGGGAAAATTAACATTATGCGAACCTTGCAACCATGCATCTCTCTTGGGTGATGTTCGCGCGTGCGTACCACACCCGTGAGACAGTTCCTCAATTGCTTTCTAAAGCGCATGCGTAGAAGACTGTCGCGTGAATCCTCGCGCGCGCATTTGGTAAACAGCAAGAATATCATCTGGCACGTGATGGTGAATTGACCAGTGAGGGTTCGGCTCTCGATCATGAGTATGTATGAGGTATAGTAATAATCTAATACAATATTGAGTTTACTCCAAAACTCTCAAGTCCGTTGTAAAGTAATAATGGCTTGGCTCAACAATACGTTCTTAAAATCCTTTCTAACCTTCAGAACTGTGGGCCGAAGTGCTTTGGCCCATCCTCCCAACCTCTGTGCCGCTTTAAATAACTTTATTGAACACAATAGAAACAGTGCTCTATGACATTAAGCCAGTATCAGCTCACAACTAGGAGGTCTACACTTTTAAAACTGATCAATGCATCAGCTCGCTGTATGCAAAGAGTCGACTGATTCATCAGCGTTCTTGGGCAATCTAAACTCATGTTAAGCTGGCAAAATGGTTGTATCATTCTGTAAAGAATCACAACTGCATTGTAACATTAATGCAAGAATCTTTGTTGAAGACTTTGATGCCAGTCAGATAGTAAAGCACGCACTGCCTGACGAAGATCCCTATTCCTCAGGTAGTAAATCATAACATTCAGCCAGCCATTGCACAGCAGCAGAACATTTGTGAATGTGCCAGCCAGGTACTGTGTCCATGTGTGTTGTGGAGATGGTATCACTATCAGCAACCTAACGACTGTAGGAATCCAGGTGATGATTAAAGTCCCTGTTATGATGATAATGGTGGTGGTTGATCTGGTGTTTATTCTCTGCCCACCTTGACCATTGCCTGCTTGGTTTTCAGCAGAAATGCGTCGGGCTTGCTTGCGAGCTATCAGGGCGATGCGTGCATACAGGATGAATATTGATAGAATTATGACAACAGCTAGCAAAACAGCCAGATAATTCCTCCAGTCATAATGTCCTATGCAAAGATAATAACGGGTATCCAGTGAGACAATACGACTCCCATCAATCCCAAATATTAAAATGCAGAATATGCTCACTGCAGCCCATGAGCTAAACACAATTATCTTTGACCTGAACACAGTCATGATTGAAGGGTATTGCAGAGGCTGGGAAATTGCAATATAACGATCCACAGTCAGAATAAACAGAGAAAAAATACTCAAACTGACAAAAAGGTAGCTAGTGACACCGTATACCACACAGAGAAAATCCCCCAGCAACCAAGATCCAGCAAACAATTCGGTTAATACAAGGATCCAGTATAAATTGTTGCACAGATCAGACAGGGTGAGAGAAGCCATGAATATTTTGGTTGTTGGCTGGATGCTGGTGACACGACGTAAGGTGAAAAGCATCAGTGGATTCAGTAAGACGCACAGAAAGACCGCAAGTACTGCCAAAACCGCTACCAAAATCACCAATGTTGTTGATGTGTGTTCATTCTCAATATTGTTTTCTGTTGAGTTTGAAGTGACAATTATTCCTTTGTTTGGTGGCCATGTAGTTTCCATGATGACCAGAGGTGTTGGTGTGCCAGATTAAGTTTGCCTTGTTGCTGTCTATTCCTTAAAAAAGGCAGCAAGTTTTTATGTACACAATTCCTGTCCAAGTGGAGCCAGTGTCAAAACAAAATTGTTGGCATCCAGATCTCTTGCGAAGTCAAAGAGGTGCTTACTGTCAAACAGCCATTAACCAGTTTGCGCCGGAGGCCGTGATCACAGGCACTTGCTGTTTTTGTGCAGAGATATGGCTGATGGCTAATGGATTAAGACGTCAAGATTGCCTCTTCTCGCCTCTGGGTGACGTCTAAACACGTTAATCCTTCGTGCCTTTTGTACATTTACACGCACAAAGTCTGTGGAGGTGAAACATACGCTGACCGTTGTGTGGGCCGTTCTACACGGCCTATTGCTGTACAGAATTTACGTTCCAGTGCAAACCCCAGGGATCGAAACATAAGAGGTTTCAGCACAATTTCATCGGACAAATACTGTTGAAATCACTCTTGTGAGTCAGTAGTGTGGCGTTTGGCTGTTTATCAGAAGTTGGCTGGGAAATTTTGCCTTTTGAAAATTTCAAAATGTTCAGCAAAAATAAAGCCGGCACTAAATTGTTAATTTCTCCATCAAGAGCTGTAGTAAAACGGTGCCTACATGTACACGTGAACAATATCTATCTAACGTTACTTGGCTGATAACCTACACGATGCTTGCCATTCTGAACACTGTACATGGAACCCACCAGCTTAATGTGCAGACTTCATTTTTTCTAGGTCAGTTCCTTAATGGATTGGAAGGTTTTGGGTCAGGACAACCAGCCAAAGTGGAATATTACACTTTGGACTGGCAACCATGTCAGATCAATCAGTCAAAGGATGGAGACGAAAATGTAGGTGGATGCCACCCTTAATTTGGACCCAAATACACCTAATTTGCATAAATTGTTAATCCCTGCTGTGTAATATATTTATTCACATATATGTGGGTATATTCTTTATTTTTTTTTATTACTTAATTTTTTTCAAGCATAGTAAGTGAATATGAGTTCATAGTAACGATCCAAAACGACCACTATTTGATCACAAAATTGCGTGCATGTACATGTACCTTGTCTCCAGATTAGTGCTGTAACTGATCCTCAAAGTTAAGTTCGGATCCGTTCGGTTGCGATTCAAATTTTTTTCTCCAAACTTCGGTTCGGTTTGGCTTCGGAAGTGTGCATACATAATGTACATGTCCATACAATGTATAGGGCTACAATGAAATGCATAGGCCGTTCCCCTGTTCGAACAAACACGTGTGTGCCGCGCACGTCTGACAGAAATAGTCATCGCAATTTCCACATGCTATACAACACAAGTTGAAAGAGGAATCTTGTTTTTGTTGTGTAAACAAAATACTGTTATAATTTGACTTGATGACATTGAGAAATGAACATTGCAAATTGCTTCCATATTACCTATCGCAGCCCTATGATAAAGTTTTCCACAACACCGTCGTGCTGACGGTTTTTCCAATGAGTTCTGTTCCATCCGAGCATGCCCGGATGAGCACTAAAAACTTGCTTCGTGGCAATATTTGCTGATTAGTTTTGTTCTAAGAACAAACACGTCCTTTTACTGTGCCAAACTTATGAAATCATAATAATTTTTAGCAACAAGCTGACAAGTAGCTACCGTAAAAAAAAAAAAAACTTTCGATTTGCGGCCTGACTTTCATCAAAATTAAGGCTGCATCCAAATCGGTTGTCTAGAGGTCAGCTAGGTCTTGGCCTGCACCTATCGAAAACACACGGTGACGCGCTGACAATAGACGTAGCCATAGCTCTGGAAGCCCGTTTTGGGCACGGCCTAATGCTCATTCTGAGAAACTTGTACAGATCACTAAAATAAAATTGTTGCTCAACTTCACTAGTTCGGTTCGTTTACAATGATACAGTAACTACAGTTGTAAATACAGTTGTTTGTGTACAACTTTCTTTTGTACGGGAGGCATCTTTATTGTACATAAATTTTCTCCAGCACAGCATCATTGAGCTCGGGGAACTGAACATTACGTGAACCTTGCAACCATGCATCTCCTTTGGGCGATGTTCGTGCGTGCGTACCACACCCGTGAGACAGTTCCTCAATTGCTTTCTAAAGCGCATGCCTAGTAGACTGCGACAGTTTACTACGCATGCGTATTTTCCTTGTGCGTGAATCCTCGCGTGCGCGTTTGGTAAACAGCAAGAATATCATGTGGCACGTGATGGTGAATTGACCAGTGAGGGTTCGGCTCTCGATCATGAATATGTATGAGGTATAGTAATAATCTAATACAATATTGGGTTTACTCCAAACTCTCAAGTCCGTTGTAAAGTAATAATGGCTTGGCTCGACAATATGTTCTTAAAATCCTTTCTAACCTCCAGAACTGTGGGCCGAAGTGCATGAGAGGTCTGAAGAATAAAAGGAACATGTACACTGTACATATACAAATGTACATGTAACAACTATTTTGCCATGCACTGTTCCCCTCATTCATTTGTCTTGACTGCTTTGGCCCATCCTCCCAACCTCTGTGCCGCTTTAAATAACTCTATTGAACACAATAGAAACAGTGCACTATGACATTAAGCCAGTATCAGCTCACAACTAGGAGGTTTACATTTTAAAAACTGATCAATGCATCGGCATGCTGTATGCAAAGAGTCAACTGATTCATCAGCGTTCTTGGGCAATCTAAACTCATGTTAAGCTGGCGAAATGGTTGTATCATTCTGTAAAGCATCACAACTGCGTTGTAACATTAATGCAAGAATCTTTGTTGCAGACTTTGATGCCAGTCAGATAGTAAAGCACGCACTGCCTGACGAAGATCCCTATTCCTCAGGTAGTAAATGATAACATTCAGCCAGCCATTGCACAGCAGCAGAACATTTGTGAATGTGCCAGCCAGGTACCGCGTCCATGTGTGTTGTGGAGATGGTATCACTATCAGCAACCTAACGACTGTAGGAATCCAGGTGATGATTAAAGTCCCTGTTATGATGATGATGGTGCTGGTTGATCTGGTGTTTATTCTCTGCCCACCTTGACCATTGCCTGCTTGGTTTTCAGCAGCAATGCGTCGGGCTTGGTTGCGAGCTATCAGGGCGATGCGTGCATACAGGATGAATATTGATAGAATTATGACAACAGCTACCGTAAGAGCTAGATAATTCCTCCAGTCATAATGTCCTAGGCAAAGGTAATAACGGGTATCCAGGGAGACAATACGATTCCCATCAATCCCAAATATTAAAATGCAGAAAATGCTCACTGCAGCCCATGTGCTAAACACAATTATCTTTGACCTGAACACAGTCATGATTGAAGGGTATTGCAGAGGACGGGAAATTGCAATATAACGATCCACAGTCAGAATAAACAGAGAAAAAATACTCAAACTGACAAAAAGGAAACTAGTCACACCATGTACCACACAGAAAAATTCCCCCAGCAACCAAGATCCAGCAAACAATTCTGTTAAAGGAAGGATCCAGCATAAACTGTTGCACAGATCACACAGGGTGAGAGAAGCCATGAATATTTTGGTTGTTGGCTGGATGCTGGTGACACGACGCAAAGTGACAAGCATCAGTGGATTCAATAAGACGCACAGAATGATTGGAAGTACTGCCAAAACTTTTACCAAAATCTCCAATGTTTTTGATTCCAGTTCATTTTCAATATTGTCTCCTGTTGCGTTAGCAGTGACAGTTACTCCTTCAGTTGATGACCATGTTGTTTCCATGATGAGCAGAGGTGATTCTTTTCCTATGGTACATACTAGTAGACGCAAAGGGAATACAATTTGTCTTCTCTTTTGCTCCCAGCATCGAACCAAATGGCTTTGTCCTGCAGCAGTGAATGATTCCTGTACAGTGCCTGTGGGTTTAGATTTGCCATGCAGCATTCTACACTCACCGTTTGATGATAGATAGATCTTGACTGATTGAAATTCAGTTATTAATTGGTTTTCTCTGTAGCTTCCTTCTCAACGTTCACCTGTGGCTGACTAATTGGCTTATACGCTAACTGCAATCAAGGCGCATCCTCAATAACATCTCGATGGGAACTGACAACGTTCATATCCTGACTGAAAAACTAATAATTTCCCTCAGAAAAAAAGCCATTAGGCAAAAAAAAGAAATAAGTCGGTCTCTCGTCAGCGTGCGCGTCGATTTTAATCATGCGCGTCAATCTTTTTTTTTTTTCAAAATGTTCCGTGGTAGCTCCAACAGCGCCCTCTATTGCCGCACCTCAATTTTGTTTTACCAAAGAGCACCAAGAAATGGGAAATTGCACCAAGGCAAATGATCGAGAGCACCAAGGCAAATTATGGAGGACACCAATGTACATGAGGACACCAAAAAAGCATAATAGTACCCAACCTTGTCTGTACAATCCAAGCTTGAAGAAAAAAAATTTAAAAGCCGCGTCGCCGCGTCAATTCAGGAACTTTGGTCTGACCAGAGACCGAATATTTTATTTTTTTTGGCCTTAACAAAGCAAGCGTGTTGTAAGATCAGTTAAATGCATCCTCAGATGGCTTATAGCTGGATCTTCAGACAGGAGTCAGTTTGGTTAAGATTGCCTAATGAGTTGTCAGTTTTACTCGGAAGACCAGTGTCATCTTGATAAAGGGTTCCTCCTTATCTTCGAAACCGTCGATTGAAGTGTCTAGGAGGTGTATATGGTACATACACTGTACATACTTTGCCATGCACTGTTCCCCTTATTTCGTTTGTTTTGACTGCTTTAGTCCATCCTTCCATTGTTTTGTGCTGAATTGTATGTAGTTAGACACAGTCGAACAGTGCACTATGACCTGAAACCAATATCAGCTGAATTTCTAGAGGGTCACCATTTTTTAAGCTGATGCATCGAAGAAGAGTGAACTGTTTCATCAGTGTTCTATTGCAATTTAAAGTCTCGTGAGAGCAACCATGAATATTTCGGTTGTTGAATGGATGCTGGTGACAGGACGTTAAGTGAAAACCATCATTGTAAGATTCAGTAAGACACAGCAAAATGTGATTGCTGTCACAAATTTGTTACGAAAACCCGAAAAGTGCGATCATACCCAACACTGTCTGCTGTAGAGTTTGAAATGCGATTGATTCCTGCATCCAGTGAATATATACTTTCCATGGCCGCAAATGTCAGTTTTTCATTTCCCTTGTGTTGTAGGATGGTTAATGGCACTGTGTTCAAGTGATTTTGTCGCTTGTCTGGCAATTTACTTGCCAGTAAATAGAACAATGTACATAATAATTAAACAGTAATATCATGGTTAAAACAAATGTGTCCCAGGGCTCTAATTCGTTTCCAAAAAAAAAGTACACATAATTCCTGAACACATTACTGCTGTTTACTAGTTCACATCGGATGACATGTATGCACGCAAAGGTTTTGCGGTATTCGGAACGGAAGACGGATATACACGCAACAAGGGAGGCTGGAAGTATCTGTCAGCGACCCGCTCGCAGCGAGCGAGGCCAGAAATACCGGTATCACAGTGTGCTACCCGCAGATGACGTGTGAACCCGTCTGGCGTCGAGGTTCGCGAAAAACAATCCCGCGCCTGGGTCCGGTCAATGTCAAACTAATCCCAGCGCGAACTGGTTAACCTGATGGGGAGTGTGTACGTTCAGAGCCATTTTGTGCACAACGCACCATGCATAGTGCATGTTTCCTGCATGTAGATTTACTGTCTGCAGGAAACATTTACTCGTACATGTATGGTGCATAGTACACAAGATGACTCTGAACGTGCCATCTACATGTACAATGCAATTACTGTTCATGAACAGAGTCTGTAAGCCCATTCGTGTATTCAATTTGTCCATTGACTGAGCATGTTGATGTTATCATTTCTGTACACAGAATCCTCATGAACTTGACTGGCTTGTGTTTATACTGTGGAGCTAAACAACATATCGAATCTGGCTGGCTACAGAACGGAGAACTTGGTAAGTAAAAATGAGTTACTCAAAACTCCATTTATCAAAGAAACAAATTGGACCCAAAATGAGGGTGTTGAAAATGCCATGGCCCATACCACAGCAGTCAGTTCTTTAGTTTTCATGATACTCCAAGGAGTTGGTCTTCTGTGCTGCGCTGCCCATGTTTTCTTCAGGCAATTATGCCACCGTTTCTTACACAGTATACAAGTTATTGGAGGCTTTGTACAGTTGAGTATCCATTTTGGTCTGTGCTTGTTTATTATAAACGTGCATGGAATATACAACAGTACCCTATGTGGAATCAATAAGTAATCTCGAGATTTAAACTAGCATGTTCTTGTCATACTTAAAAAAAAAACTGAAGACTTACTACTGAGGCTTGCAAAAGGAGACTGATGCTAATGTGGGTGTTTCTGGTACTGATCTAGACTACAATTACACGTATGGTGTTTATAATGGGTAATTGGATTAATGAGGCAAACAAGTTTCTTTATAAATAGGCCTACAAAAAAAGTATTAAACTTCTCCTGAATACTAAGGTAAGAATCTTTGGTCCAGAGTGTGATGCCAGTTAGACAGTAAACTGCGTAGTGCCATGCGAAGATCCTTGTTTCTCAGATAGTAAATAATCACATTCATCCAGCCATTGGACAGCACCAGAGATTGTGTGAGCATGAAGGCCAAGTATTTGTTGGAGGTTCCCCATTGGTTTTGTGAAACTATCGCTAACCTGATGACTGTAGGAATCTTAACCTAGATGTAAAGACCCCATCGTGAGTTTGTGTCCCGAAAAATGACATCATGATTATGTCATCATGGGTCATGTGACGTCATCTTAAATGTTCAAACTTTAAGACCCTATATCTAATGAACTACAAGTCCGATTAGGTTGCAAATTGGTATGTACGTAGACCGGGATTTGTTATAGGTAACAATTTAGGTGACGTCGTCATGACATCATCGTTTGATTTTATATCGATTTTGAAGTTTTGGACCTTTAAGCCATACATGTATCTCACGAACGCAGTATGCTAAATTCAAAATTCTTTCTGTATTACGTTTGTTAGGTAACAAATATATACACAAAATTGTGAAAATTGTGTGACGTCATTATGACATCATCAAAAATGCGATATTTTAAAACACATATAAGGGAATATCCGATCGTCATGAAACTAGGTGGCTAGGTACCGATAGATAATAGTAGGCCCCTACTAGTACACAAAATCTGAAATGACGTCATGATGACATCAACGGTAGATTTTAAAAGTTTTTTTTTTTAAATGTTTACAATTATATTTTGCTTACAATTGTTAACACTTTTATTCAACCGATTGGCTTCAAACTTGGTACAGACTAAACCACAATAAAATGAGCACTGCCAAGTATTGTTGCGATGACATCATCACGGGGCATGTGACGTCATCATGAATGTACGTTTTTCAAAGTTTTCTATTCAGATCGATTGTCTCAAAAGTCTGTATGAACGTAGTGTTGCATTTACGACGTGTTTCTGAAAAAGACCAAGTTTTTACAAAATACCTCACAGGATGTTGGTAAATGACAGTCAAAAGCATCCTGTAAAATTATGGCACCTGGTGTGAAGTCATTTTCAAGAAAATTGCATTTTTGTATACATTTTCAACGGTGGCCGACCACCGTAGGAAAAACCTAACTATTTTTCACTACTGCTCCAAATTTACCATTTTCTTCAGTCCAAATTTTGTTTGCTATTGGTTTATGTTCATGAATGGATGCAGGCCAGCTAGACTGGTTCCCTAATACCGTACAATTTTCCGGCATAAGTAAATTGATCCATTTCATCTTCAGTGGAGTCAGGGAACCAGACTACTTGAACATTTTTGTTTTTCTTGGATTTTCCAGCATTTTCGAAAACAAAACTTCAAACATGTCAGTGTAACAATAAATTGATCTATTATACTAACTACTCAAAAAGTTCATTTCTGAAAATTAAAGCAGAAGCCAATGATGTACATTCCCTTTAATGCAAGAATCTTTGTTGCAGACTTTGATGCCAGTCAGATAGTAAAGAACGCACTGCCTGACGAAGATCCCTATTCCTCAGGTAGTAAATGATAACATTCAGCCAGCCATTGCAAAACAGCAGAACATTTGTGAACATGCCAGCCAGGTACTGTGTCCATGTGTGTTGTGGAGATGGTATCACTATCAGCAACCTAACGACTGTAGGAATCCAGGTGATGACTAAAGTCCCTGTTATGATGATGATGGTGGTGGTTGATCTGGTGTTTATTCTCTGCCCACCTTGACCATTGCCTGCTTGGTTTTCAGCAGAAATGCGTCGGGCATGCTTGCGAGCTATCAGGGCGATGCGTGCATACATGATGAATATTGATAGAATTGTGACAACAGCTAGAAAAACAGCCAGATAATTCCTCCAGTCATAATGTCCTATGCAAACATAATAACGGGTATCCAGTGAGACAATACGACTCCCATCAATCCCAAATATTAAAATGCAGAATATGCTCACTGCAGCCCATGAGCTAAACACAATTATCTTTGATCTGAACACAGTCATGATTGAAGGGTGTTGCAGAGGACGGGAAATTGCGATATAACGATCCACAGTCAGAATAAACAGAGAAAAAATACTCAAACTGCCAAAAAGGTAGCTTGTGACACCGTTTACCACACAGAGAAAATCCCCCAGCAACCGAGATCCAGCAAACAATTCGGTTAATGCAAGGATCCAGTATAAGTTGTTGCACAGATCAGACAGGGTGAGAGAAGCCATGAATATTTTGGTTGTTGGCTGGATGCTGGTGACACGACGCAAGGTGAAAAGCATCAGTGGATTCAGTAAGACGCACAGAACCATCGCAAGCACTGCCAAAACCGCTACCAAAATCAACAATGTTGTTGAGGTGAATTCATTCTCATCTTTGTCTCCTGTTGTGTTGGTAGTGACAGTTGTTCCTTCATCGGGTGACCATGTAGTTTCCATGATGACCAGAGGTGTTGGTGTGGCAGTTTAAGTTTGCCTTGTTGCTGTCTATCCCTTAAAAAAGGCAGCAAGTTTTTATGTACACAATTCCTGTCCAAGTGGAGCCAGTGTCAAAACAAAATTGTTGGCATCCAGATCTCTTGCGAAGTCAAACAGGTGCTTACTGTCAAACAGCCATTAACCAGTTTGCGCCGGAGGCCGTGATCACAGGCACTTGCTGTCTTTGTGCAGAGATACGGCTGATGGCTAATGGATTAAGATGTCAAGATTGCCTCTTCTCACCTCTGGGTGACGTCTAAACACATTAATCCTTCGTGCCTTTTGTACATTTACACGCACCAAATCTGTGGAGGTGAAACATATGCTGACCGTTGTGTGGGCCGTTCTACACGGCCTATTGCTGTGCAGAATTTACGTTCCAGTGCAAACCCCAGGGTATCGAAACATACAAGGTTTCAGCACAATTTCATCGGACAAATACTGTTGAAATCACTCTTGTGAGTCATTATTGTGGCGTTTGGCTGTGTATCAGAAGTTGGCTGGGAAATTTTGCCTTTTGAAAATTTCAAAATGTTCAGCAAAAAATAAACCTGGCACTAAATTGTTAATTTCTCCATCAAGAACTGTAGCAAAACGGTGCCTACATGTACACGTGAACAATATCTATCTAACGTCACTTGGCTGATAACCTACACGATGCTTGCCATTCTGAACACTGTACATGGAACCCACCAGCTGAATTTGCAGGCTTCATTTCTTCAAGGTCAGTTCCTTAATGGATTAAAAGGTTTTGGGTCAGATTAAACACTTGAGCCAAATTGGAATTTTACACTTTGGATGGCATTTTTTGGTAATAGCAGCCAACCATGTCAGATCGGTTGCTGACGGTTTTCCTGACGAGTTCCGTCCCGTCCGAGCATGCCCGGATGACCACTAAAACCTGCTTTCTGGCAATATTTGCTGATTAGTTTTGTTTAATAACAAACACGTCCTTTTACTGTGCCTAACTTATGAAATCATATTTATTTTTAGCAACAAGCTGACAAGTAGCTACCGTAAAAAAAATAACTTTCCGATTCGCGGCCTGACTTCCTTAAAAAATTAAGGCTGCGTTCGAATCGGCTGTCTATAGCTCAGAGCTAGGTCTTGGCTTGCCCCTATTGAAAACACACGGTGACGCGCTGACAATAGACATAGCCATAGCTCTGGAAGCCCGTTTCGGGCACGGCCTAATGCTCATTCTGAGGACAGATCTATTTATTTTGTAAAGTGGTGTTTCACCCTCTTTTGGGAGATTACATCATTTTTCGTATACATTTTTTACGAAAAAAAATATATTGCGATGATTAAGAACTTATTCAGAACATGGGAAAGGTTTCAGACTCCATATAAAGTATTTTTTTTGTAATTTTGACACCTTGGAAAAAAACCTGAAAATGCTGGTAAATTGTGCCGAGGAAAGCACATTCAATGCAAATGGTTTAGTCCAAACGTACTACGTCACGCTGGAACAGAGCAGGGTGAGCTCGACCGCGCTGGAAGAATAACATGCAAAGAGCACGCTTTTCATTGAGAAAATCGCAAGGTGCGTATGATTTTTTTCAAAGCGTATTGGCCCGCTATCCTATTTGCATGCCTGGCTAGAACATTGCAAATAATGAAGAGGAATGCGGTGACTTGTCAACACGGTAAATTCAATCATCCGTGCGCTTTAATTTTGCCCTTTCATTGCAAGCATTAGCATTCCTAGCGCTATCAACAAATACTTTACAAACTCTTCTGAACTGACATTTGGGTTCGGTTCGGTTCGAGTTCGGTTCGAGTTCGGTTCGGAAGGCCAAGTTCGGATATTTTTAGTTCGGTTTGGCGGTTCAGCTGCAGCAGCAGCACTACTCCAGATGTCATAGTCTTGCCAAACCTCAGTATTGATGAGCTTCCAATTCACCTAGTAGCTTACTGGCACAGTGACCCTATTAAAACCTTATGGAAAATCATCTGAACAATGATAAGTTTGTGATAATGCCAGCTATTACCCCAAAAAATGCCATGAAATTATTTTCTAGAGAACTTTTCCACATTTGGCTGGCCTACTATCAGAAAGACAAAACTGAATCTAACGCTTCAACGTACATAATTGTACCTTCTTTTCATACTGACATTGGATTTCTGAGGTGCCAAGATTGCAAAGACGTTAATCTTCATTCAACCTTGATTAAGAAAATGTACTTGGCAATCCTTACCTCTACCTCTTCTACTGTCATCCTTCCCCAGTAGCTCTAGGAGCACGGTCAACCCTGGGGGTAATTGCAGACTCCATAGCGTTCTGTTCATTATCATACATCATTCATATACAAGAGAATTATAGACTAATAATCCGCTGGGACGTCATTCCGCTACGGATGCAGCTGGCTGGAACATACTATCATGTACAACCGCCCTTTACTACACGTACACCTACTGCTGGTGCTGCTGCATGCCTTCAATACCGTAGAAACCTTAGAACATCAACGCCATTTCCGCCGTGCAGACTGCTCCCAAACCCAACCCATGGGCCCCGCTCGGTTTTATGGCGCCGACCGACCCGCCAGTCGCATTGTAGGTAATAATGGCTTCTCGTGTGCTTTTTATAAGACGTAAGCCTGGGACTGACTAACCCCACACACAGCCTCCCTATTCTGCCTGGATGCAGTTTAGCGTCATACCCAGGACAATTGCTTTCCAAAGCGCATGCGTAGTAGACTGTAGCACGGGTTACCCAGTCTACTACGCATGCGTATTTTCCCTGTGCGTGAATCCTCAGCCACGCGTTTGGTAAACAGCAATAATATCATCTGGTACTTGATGGTGGATTGACCAGTGAGAGTTCGGCTCTCGATTATGAATATGTATGAGGTATAGTAATAATCTAATACAATATTGAGTTTACTCCAAAAGTCTCAAGTCTGTTGTAAAGTAATAATGGCTTGGCTCGACAATATGTTCTTAAAATCCTTTCTAACCTTCAGAACTGTGGGCCGAAGTGCATGAGAGGTCTAAAGAATAAAAGGAACATGTACACTGTACATATACAAATGTACATGTAACAACTATTTTGCCATGTACTGTTCCCCTTATTCATTTGTCTTGACTGCTTTGGCCCATCCTCCCAACCTCTATGCCACTTTAAATAACTTTATTGAACATAATAGAAACAGTGCACTATGACATTAAGCCAGTATCAGCTCACAACTAGGAGGTCTACACTTTTAAAACTGATCAAGGCATCGCCTCGCTGTACGCAAAAAGTCGACGATTCATCAGTGTTCTTGGCCTATCCAAACTTATGTTATGCTGGCGAATGGTTGTATCATCAAGCATCACAACTGCGTTGTAACGTTAATGCAGGAATCTTTGTTGCAGACTTTGATGCCAGTCAGATAGTAAAGAACACACTGCCTGACGAAGATCCCTATTCCTCAGGTAGTAAATGATAACATTCAGCCAGCCATTGCACAACAGCAGAACTTGTGTGAACATCGAGGCCAAGTAAAAGTCATAAGGTTCCCATTGGCTTTGTGAAGCCATTGCTAACTTGACCACTGTAGGAATCCAGGTGATGATTAAAGTCCCTGTTATGATGATGATGGTGGTGGTTGATCTGGTGTTTATTCTCCGCCCACCTTGACCATTGCCTGCTTGGTTTTCAGCAGCAATGCGTCGGGCTTGCTTGCGAGCTATCCAGGCGATGCGTGCATACAGGATGAATATTGATAGAATTATGACAACAGCTAGCAAAAAAAAAAGATAATTCCTCCAGTCATTATGTCCTAGGCAAAGGTAATAACGGGTATCCAGGGAGACAATACGACTCCCATTAATCCCAAGTACCAAACTGCAGATAATGCTCACTGTAGCCCATGTGCTCAACACAATTATCTTTGACCTGAACACAGTCATGATTGAAGGGTATTGCAGAGGACGGGAAATTGCAATATAACGATCCACAGTCAGAATAAACAGAGAAACAATACTCAAACTGACAAAAAGGTAACTAGTCACACTGTATACCACACAGAAAAAATCCCCCAGCAACCAAGATCCAGCAAACAATTCGGTTAATGCAAGGATCCAGTATAAGTTGTTGCACAGATCAGACAGGGTGAGAGAAGCCATGAATATTTTGGTTGTTGGCTGGATGCTGGTGACACGGCGTAAGGTGACAAGCATCAGTGGATTCAGTAAGACGCACAGAAAGATCGCAAGTACTGCCAAAACCTTGACCAAAATCAACAATGTTGTTGATGTGTGTTCATTCTCAATAATGTCTCCTGTTGAGTTTGAAGTGACAATTATTCCTTCATCCGGTGACCATGTAGTTTCCATGATGGGCAGAGGTGTTCTTGACAAATATTTCCAGTGTAGGTGAAAGTGGAATACCAGTTTGTTTTTACCTCTTCTCTCAGCATCCAACCAAATGGTTTTGTCCATCAGCAGCTTATGATGCCTGTGCAATAGGTTTAGATTTTCCACGCAGCATTTGTGCACATCTACATTTGCAGTTTAATGATACCCGGTAGATAGATCTTGACTGATAGTGGTGTAATTTATAAACTGAATTTCTTTGTCGCTTCCTTCTTAAGTGGCTCACTAATTGGCTTATACGTTAACTGTCAATCAAGGCACACCCTTAATAACAGCTTGCTGGGAACTGCATATCCTGACTGATAATTAAATAATTTCACTCATTGGCAGTTCGGAAGAGTTTGTAAAGTATTTGTTGAACAGCAAGAATATCATCTGGCACGTGATGGTGAATTGACCAGTGAGAGTTCGGCTCTCGATCATGAATATTATGAGGTATAGTAATAATCTAATAGAATATTGAGTTTACTCCAAAACTCTCAAGTCTGTTGTAAACTTATAATGGCTTGGCTCGACAAATCTTAAAATCCTTTCTAACCTTCAGAACTGTGGGCTGTAGTGCATGAGAGGTCTAAAGAATAAAAGGAACATGTACACTGTACATATACAAATGTACATGTAACAACTATTTTGCCATGTACTGTTTCCCTCATTCATTTGTCTTGACTGCTTTGGCCCATCCTCCCAACCTCTGTGCCGCTTTAAATAACTTTATTGAACACAATGGAAACAGTGCACTATGACATTAAGCCAGTTTCAGCTCACAACTAGGAGCTGTACATTTTATAAACTGATCAGTGCATCGGCTCGCTGTACGCAAAGTGTCAACTGATTCATTAGTGTTCTTGGGCAATCTAAACTCATGTTAAGATGGCGAGATGGTTGTTTCATTCTGTAAAGAATCACAACTGCGTTGTAACGTTAATGCAAGAATCTTTGTTGCAGACTTTGATGCCAGTCAGATAGTAAAGCACGCACTGCCTGACGAAGATCCCTATTCCTCAGGTAGTAAATGATAACATTCAGCCAGCTATTGCACAGCAGCAGAACATTTGTGAATGTGCCAGCCAGGTACCGCGTCCATGTGTGTTGTGGAGATGCTATCACTATCAGCAACCTAACGACTGTAGGAATCCAGGTGATGATTAAAGTCCCTGTTATGATGATGATGGTGGTGGTTGATCTGGTGTTTATTCTCTGCCCACCTTGACCATTGCCTGCTTGGTTTTCAGCAGCAATGCGTCGGGCTTGGTTGCGAGCTATCAGGGCGATGCGTGCATACAGGATGAATATTGATAGAATTATGACAACAGCTATTGTAAGAGCTAGATAATTCCTCCAGTCATAATTTCCTATGCAAAGGTAATAACGGGTATCCAGTGAGACAACACGACTCCCATCAATCCCAAATATTAAAATGCAGAAAATGCTCACTGCAGCCCATGTGCTTAACACAATTATCTTTGACCTGAACACAGTCATGATTGAAGGGTATCGCAGAGGCTGGGAAATTGCGATATAACGATCCACAGTCAGAATAAACAGAGAAAAAATACTCAAACTGACAAAAAGGTAACTAGTCACACCGTTTACCACACAGAGAAAATCCCCCAGCAACCAAGATCCAGCAAACAATTCGGTTAATGCAAGGATCCAGTATAAGTTATTGCACAGATCAGACAGGGTGAGAGAAGCCATGAATATTTTGGTTGTTGGCTGGATGCTGGTGACACGGCGTAAGGTGACAAGCATCAGTGGATTCAGTAAGACACACAGAAAGATCGCAAGTACTGCCAAAACCGCTACCAAAATAAACAATGTTCTTGACGTGTGTTCATTCTCAATATTGTCTTCTGTTGAGTTTGAAGTGACAATTATTCCTTCATCCGGTGACCATGTAGTTTCCATGATGGACAGAGGTGTGTTCTCGACAAATATTTCCAGTGTAGATGAAAGTGGAATACCAGTTTGTTTTTACCTCCTCTCTCAGCATCCAACCAAATGGTTTTGTCCATCAGCAGCTAATGATGCCTGTGTAATAGGTTTAGATTTTCCATGCAGCATTTGTGCACATCTACATCTACATTTGCAGTTTGATGACTGATAGATCTTGACTGATCATGGTGTAATTATAAACTGAATTTCTCTGTCGCTTCCTTCTTAAGTGGCTCACTAATTGGCTTATACGTTAACTGTCAATCAAGGCACATCCTTAATAACAACTTGATGGGAACTGTGAACATCCTGACTGATAATTAAATAATTTCACTCATTAGCAAAGCAAGCGTGTTGTGAGATCAGTTAAATACATCCCTAGGAAAACCTATATTATAATGCAACAGATCTACTGTAACGAGATCAAGACTTTATTTTCAAAATGCTTTAAATGCCATTTTGTTGCCTTTAAGAATCCAACCCTCAGTTTCAACAGGTTTAATGTAGTTAAATGTAGTTAAAGCCCGAGTCCATCATTTGCAGTAATCCAAAAAGTAGCTGGCGTAATTACTGTTGAAAAACATACTTGGTTGAAAGATAGTAAGAGGACTAAACTCCCTGCCAAATTATTCTTTCTGGCAAGCTTCCATTTTGAAGTAATCAACAAAAGAAGGCCTTTCCAATGGTGCGTCTTAAGACGCACCGTAGGAAAATTTAAATTAATAGTTTGTTTTGTTATTCGGCGCAGCGCGCGCGCGCACCCCCGGTTGCTACAATTCGTCAGATCAGAGCTCGACATAGCGTTGCTGCATTCGGCTCAGCGAGAACGTGTCTCGGACGCTGAATTCAGGCGCAATTCAAAACATGATTCAGCAACTTTTGGTTTGAAATCGAGATCCTAGAATGTTGTTTTTCTCCAAATATACAGCTGAAGCTGAGCTGAAACTTCATCAGGTTAGTTGTTCAGCACCCTTCTTTAGATTTTGAGCACTTTTGTTGCTTCAAACGAACAAAATGCACAAATTACAAATGATGGACTATAACTTTAAATTCAGCTTAAATAATTAAGTGAAAAGGGAAGTTTGGAAATGGCTATCATACTGCTTTTATTCTCTTCAGACGTTCACGATACAGAGAACCATTAACTAAGTACAACACCAAAAAGGAGGGAACAATATTAAGATACGCATTATTGTAATTATTACTTGAGCATGTATTTTTGTTTGCGGCTGCATGTGTGTAAGCATACCATTCTTCATTCAGTAATCTAATAGAATATTCAATAAACTCTAAAACTCTCACGTCCCTTGTCAAGTTATAATGACTTGGCTGTACCTTCTTCAGTCCTTCCTAATCTTCAAAACTGTGGATTGAAGTGTCTGGGAAGCTTAAAATTGAAAGAGTTTGGCAGGCCTCAACCTTAAAGCTAGGTTCACACATTACCAAATTAGTGCCACGAATACCCAGATCTATCCTGAATAAAAGCATTTGGAGGACTTAGCCCCGATTCGCTGTTTGTAAGAATAACTTAAGAATGAAACAGAAACAATCTAGAACTAAGTACGAGTTGGAAGCCATATCAGACCGAATCAAGCCGCATGATTGCAATGAAGTGCAGAATAAATCCGAATTGTAGCGATATTGTCAAGAATATGTACAAATAACTCCAGAATCATCCAGAATTATGCCGATTTCATTACAAATTTAATAAGAACAAAGACCCATTAGGCTGAATGTAATGCGAACATTCCCGAACAACTACGAACTAAGCCGATTTATCTGGACTCATTTTTCATTTCACACTGATGCCATTAAAAATTGGAGAGACCATAAAGTCTTGTAAAGCTTGGAATTTCCTATGTTGGAGGGTTAATTCCCAGTTGCGTGTCTGTTTTAAAGGGAATTTACAACATTTACAAACAAAAACCCCCTACATGTACCAAATTGTCACGAAATATCTTACTGGACTGTTAGTGAATGACAATCTAAAGCATCCTGTAAAATCCTGGCACCATGGTGTGCTGACATTTTCAAGAGAAGTGGTATTTTTGTATCAATTTTTGAAGCAGAATCTTTGTTGCAGACTTTGATGCCATTCAGATAGTAAAGAACGTATTGCCTGACGAAGATCCCTATTCCTCAGGTAGTAAATCATAACATTCAGCCAGCCATTGCACAACAGCAGAACTTGTGTGAGCGTCCCACACAAATACCTATCATAAAGCGTCCATGTGCTTTGTGGAAGCATAACCAACCCGATCACTGTAGGAATCCAGGTGATTAATAAAGTCCCTGTTATGATGATGATGGTGGTGGTTGATGTGGTGTTTATTCTCTGCCCACCTTGACCATTACCTGCTTGGTTTTCAGCAGCAATGCGTCGGGCTTGATTGCAAGCTATCGTGGCGATGTGTGCATATAAGATGAATATTGATAGAATTATGATAACAACCACTGCAAGAGTAAGATAATTTCTCCAATCATAATGTCCTAGGCAAAGGTAATGAGTATCCAGTGAGACAATATGATTCCCATGAATCCCAAATACCAAAGTGCAGAGAATGCTCACTGTGGCCCATGTGCTGAACACAATTATCTTTGATCTGAACACAGTCATGATTGAAGGGTAACGCAGTGAATGTGAAATTGCAATATAACGATCCATGGTCAGGAGAAGAAGAGAATTAATACTCAAACCGACAAAAAGGTTCCTAGTTACACCGTGTACCACACAGAGAAATTCCCCCAGCAACCATGACCCAGCAAACAATTCTGTTAAAGGAAGGATCCAGCATAAACTGTTGCACAGATCACACAGGGTGAGAGAAGCCATGAATATTTTGGTTGTTGGCTGGATGCTGGTGACACGACGTAATGTGAAAAGCATCAGTGGATTCAGTAAGACGCACAGAAAGATTGCAAGTACTGTCACAACCTTTACCAAAATCAACAATGTTGTTGAGGTGAATTCATTTACATCTTTGTCTCCAGTTGTGTTGGTAGTGACAGTTATTCCTTCATCGGGTGACCATGTAGTTTCCATGACGGGTAGAGGGGTTGACCAGTTAAAAATAGAAGTCTCGTTCTTCTTTTCTTGTCATAAACTCAGTATGATCAAAGGCCACAAGAAAGTTTGTGTCAAACTGCAGATTCTGTCATAAATGTCAATTCTTGCTTGACTGTTGTCATCCCTAGTCTTGTAGAAATAAATCGACTTCAAGGATTCACCAAAATCTGCTGTTAGCCTCACTGTTTGCTGATTGTGAAACTGCCACCGATTTCTCCATCAAGAACTGTAGCAAAACTGCACATTATGTGGTAGTAACTTGGATGTTCACAAATTGCTGTTCCCTGGTCTCTTGTGCTGCATGCCATTCTGAACAGGTTACATAGAATACTCCAGCTTGTTGTGTACTATCAGGAGTGGGCTTGAAGAACATGTAAATATTCCGTTCTAAAGTCAAAACTGAATGACAGTGTAGACACCAGTTATCAATCGTGCCTTATTCTTGCAAACACAATTCATTTTGTGCATTGGACAAGCAGCTGTGAGATACTGTATCAAATTAGTCTCCACGCAAATTTGATTCAAAGGAAATGCAAAATGGCGGTCCTAATATCTTTCTTTCCTTTTTAATTTGCCACCATTTTTAATGACCCACAATTCTTTATGCGTCAATGAAAAGATCCAGGGTTATTCGATGGAGTTGTTATGAAGTCACAAATACTTCTCTCTCTTATTCCCAATAATGGCCCACCCTCACGCTTACAATAGCACTTAATTCAATTACATGTAAATATACATTTTGTCTTGTCAATACAGTCACAATACCAGAACAGTGAAGTTGAAAGACCTGTTTACTCTATCTCTGATTGTTGAACTATTAGGGCGATGAAATAAAGTGTCATCCATTAAAATAATCTTGATAAAAGCTTCAGGGCTTCATTTGAAGAGTGTCACTTGATTGAAAGCCTACTAAGTACACATAAAGGAATTTTTTTTTAAATGGTCATTATTTAAATAATGAAGCAACAACATTGTTTAAAATCTTGAGTACCGGTAGGGTGAATATTTGTAACTGACTTGTGAAAGTTTTAGCTCAATAGCTACTGGTACCGCACACATTAATTAAGGCTCAATCTGTTGGGTCTTGTATCTGGATTCCAATGCTAATGCACAATGTAAAAAGTGCGCCAGTGACTTTTTAAGCCATTTTAAGCAGGCATAAAGCAAGAACAGCGAAGATGAGAGGTTTACTCTATCTCCTCTTGTTGAACCATTAGGAGGATGAAACAAAAGTGCCATCCATTAAAATAATCTTGATAAACACTTCAGGGCTTCATTTGAATAGCGTCACATATTTTAATCAATTTATCATATCATTTGAGTGAACATAATGCACAATCTTTTGGGTGTCGTATATGAATTCCTTTGCTAAATGCACATAAAAAGTGTACCCTCAGATACTTTTTAAACCACATGTACATTTGTACCTTTAACAAGCATGCAACTTTTCCTCAGATCAGCTGATATACTCATTTATAATTTCACTTGTATGCTATTAAAAATTGAATAACGCTGTATAAAAGTCCTGTAAAGATTGGATTTTTCTTTTCTTTTTTTTGACTACTTCCAAGTTGCACGCCTCCTTTAACGATTGTTATGGTGTGGGTGATACCATTTCAGATGGAATAATACGATTGGATACATAGTACCAGTCATCTTTTTTTTCACTTTAAGCAGGATTTTCACATAAATCAGGCCAAAAAAGTTTAGTTCTGCTTCCTATTACATGGATTACGAAATTAAGGAATTTTTTTTGGGGGGGGGGCATTTTTGTGTGTGTGTACAATCATTTTGAGGCGTCTGCGTGTAGTTGATGGTAAAAGGCAGTTTTTTTCTCCTTTTTCCTATAAAAAAAAATAGGGTAGGGGCTGTCAGAATAGGCTAGGTAGAGGAACTGGAAGCAGAACTTTTTTTTTTGGCCTCAGTAAATCCCCGTAATTACCACTGTTTCTAGAAATGCCATTAATCCTTACTGTACATGAGAGACTACTTACACCAATCAGGCCTTGAACCGCGACCTCCACATAACCGTTCCAGTGCTCTTACCAACTGAGCTATCCTCGGCAACTTTTCATTTTTCTTTTCAATTTTCTTTCATCATTTACAAGCTTTATATACATGCACATGTTTATCAATTTACATAATTCATGATTGAACATCTTTCTTAATTATTGCAAATTATAAACAGCACTTGGGTGACATCAAGTTACGAGCATTGGGGCTAATTCAAATTAGCACTAAAAAAAGTGATGCACTCACTAACTTTAAATATAAACAGTTTGTAGGTCTGGTGTTTTGCTAAGAAACTTTGGGTCAATACGTCAATAGATATAGAAGGGGCTGGTACTATGGTATTTACAATGAACAGCACCCGATTTCACGAAGCGCTGCGACGCGTCGCAACTCGAGTTACGACGTGAAACACGTCGCAACTCGCGACGCGTCGTATGTTCCATTTCACGAAAGTTGCGATGTGTTGAATGCGTCGTAAGTTCCTTGACAACGGCTTAAAACACGTCGCAAGTTAAGACGTGTCTAGTGGTCGTCGCAAAATAAGAAGAGTCATTTCTAAGCCAGTTTTATGCCATAAACATTACAGTAACGAGATTATAATACCGAGGCAATGTGTGTAAAGTTGTAAATAGAAAATTCATTGAATAATTATGAATTAGACCGGAATATTAGAATTGAAATTTCAAAGTAGCTATACAGTCCAATGAGAGCTTGTTTTCCTTCAAAATTGCATCGCACGGCCGCCATTTTGTTTTACGTTTTAACAAATTTCGAGCTGAGATCCAACGACTCTTTGTTGAATATCAGACGACTTTTTACTGTACGCTGACTAAAGACATAAAACAGTCACCGAGTTGTGCTATAAATACACCTACGACACGTCGCACTTACGACGTGTTTAGTAAAATGGATCGCAGGACGCGTCGCAGCTGCGACGCATCGTAGAGATACGACGCGTCGCAGCGCTGCGATGCATTGTAAGTTGGTGACTGCTCTATGTTCCGACACCCCTATGTTCCGACAACCTAGATTGTGTTACTCCCGGTTAGGGTTCGGGTTAGGAATAGGAATATGTGCAGTCGGAACATAGGGGTGTCGGAACATAGAGGTGTAACCGTAAGTTATGAAGAGTTTGATGAAATCGGGTGCATGTGTGTTTAAATGAGGAACTTGTGAAATATGACATTTTTTTGACCCACAAATTTCAGAGTTACTTGTACTGTTATGTACTGCATACCATAGTACTCTCCCTGCAGCGAAGGTCTTCCATGTAAATTGTTTATAATAAGACACAATTCAAACAGTGCGTAAAGACATTACAACATGGATAAAGCCAGTATCAGCTCACGGTTACATGGGGGGCACCATTTTTTTCAGCTGATGCATCGGCTGTAGCAAAGAATCATCTGATTCTACAGTGTTCTTTGACAATCTAGAGTCTCGTTAAGCTGGCAAATAGTTGTAAGCATTCTGTAATGCATTCCAACTGTGTTGTAAAGTTAATGCAAGAATCTTTGTTGCAGACTTCGATGCCAGTCAGATAGTAAAGCATGCATTGCCTGACGAAGATCCCTATTCCTCAGGTAGTAAATCATAACATTCAGCCAGCCATTGCACAGCAGCAGAACATTTGTGAACATCATGGCCAAGTAACTGTCATAAGGCTCCCATTGGTTTTGTGAATCGATCACTAACCTGATCACTGATGGAATCCAGGTGATGATTAAAGTCCCTGTTATGATGATGATGGTGGTGGTTGATCTGGTGTTTATTCTCTGTCCACCTTGACCATTGCCTGCTTGGTTTTCAGCAGCAATGCGTCTGGCTTGATTACGAGCTATCACAGCGATGTGTGCATACATGATGAGTATTGATAGAATTGTGAAAACAAGTAGTGTAACACTTAGATATTGTCTCCACTCATATGATTCTCTGAGGCAAAGGTTATGTTTGCTAACTAATGAGACAACCTTTTTCCCATGAATCCCCAATCCCAAAATACATATAATGCTCACTGCTGCCCACGTGCTAAACACAATTGTTTTTGATCTGAACACAGTCATGATTGAAGGGTAACGCAAAGGACGGGAAATTGCAATATAGCGATCCACAGTCAAGAGTAAAAGAGAATAAATGCCCAGCCCGTTAAATAAGTAAATAGTCACACTATATACCACACAGAGGAAATCCCCCAGCAACCAGGATCCAGCAAACAATTCTGTTAAAGGAAGGATCCAGCATAAACTGTTGCACAGATCAGACAGGGTGAGAGAAGCCATGAATATTTTGGTTGTTGGCTGGATGCTGGTGACACGACGTAAGGTGACAAGCATCAGTGGATTCAGTAAGACACAGAGAAAGATTGCAAGTACTGCCATAACTTTTACCAAAATCAACAATGTTGTTGATGTGAGTTCCTTCTCAACATTGTCTTCTGTTGTGTTTGAAGTGACAATTATTCCTTCATCAGTTGACGGTGTAGTTTCCATGATGACCAAAAACAAGAGATGATTTGCTCCGAAGATAAGCGTGCAATTTTTTGTGCGAAAAACACACACAAAAATGCTAGTGAACTGTAGAATTTGTCATTAAATACCAACTCATGTTAAGGTGATCTCATCGCTCGTCTTTAAGTAGAACAAATTCTCTTCCAGGATTCAGCAAAGTCTCAGGCTATGGCACATGTTGGCCACACTGTTTGCTGATTGTCCAACTGCCATAGTTTTTTTTCAATCAAAAGCTGTAGCAAAACTGCTGTCAAAAATATTACATGTATGTGCTGAATCTGCTGAACGTCTGTTGGCTATTAATGTAGCTGTTCACAAATTGCCGTCTCAGGCCCCTTGTGCTGCTTGTCATTCTGAGCAGGTTACATAAAGTACTCAAGCATCTTTGTTTTCAGGAGTGGGTCCTGCTTGAATGAAGTGTAATGTTTCTGCAAAGTGTAGACACCAGTTATCAATTGTGCCTTGTTTTCATGCAAACACAATTCACTTTCTGCGCTAGACACGTAGGAGTGAGGTACAGAATCAACTTTGTCTCCAAGCAGATTGTCTCCAAGCAGATTTGATAAGGAGATGCTCATGACGGTCCTAACATCTTTCTTTCCTTTTTGATTTACCTCCATCAAATGACCCATGTTTCTTTAAGCCTCAGTGAAAAGATCCAGGGTTATTGATGGAGTTGTAATTAAGTCACACACACCCCTTTATTATTGCCAATGGTCCACGCTCACGTTACAATAGCCCTTAATTCAAATACAAGTACCAGTTCATGTTTGTGCCTGTCAATACAGTCACAATGCAAGAACAGTGAAGATGAGAGGTCTACTCTATTTCTGATTATTGAACCATTAGGGCGATGAAATGAAAGTTGAACCATTAGGGAGATGAAAGAAAAGATCCAGGGTTGTTTGATGGAGTTGTTGTTAAGTCACGTAGTTCCCTTCTTACTCCCGACAATGGTCTACGTTAACGTTTACAGTGTCTCCAAGCATATTGCACATGACAGATCGGGAATAAGAAGGGAAATACGTGACTTAACAACAACTCCATCAAACAACGCTGGATCTTTTCTTTCATCTCCCTAATGGTTCAACTTTCAATTCATCGCTCTAATGGTTCAATAATCAGAAATAGAGTAGACCTCTCATCTTCACTTTTCTTGCATTGTGACTGTATTGACAGGCACAAACATGAACTGGTACTTGTATTTGAATTAAGGGCTATTGTAACGTGAGCGTGGACCATTGGCAATAATAAAGGGGTATGTGTGACTTAATTACAACTCCATCAATAACCCTGGATCTTTTCACTGAGGCTTAAAGAAACATGGGTCATTTGATGGAGGTAATCAAAAAGAAAGAAAGATGTTAGGACCGTCATGAGCATCTCCTTATCAAATCTTCTTGGAGACAAAGTTGATACTGTACCTCACTCCTACGTGTCTGGCGCAGAAAGTGCATTGTGTTTGCATGAATAAAAGGCACAATTGATAACTGGTGTCTACACTGTGCGGAAACATTACACTTCATTCAAGCAGGACCCACTCCTGAAAACAAAGATGCTTGAGTACTTTATGTAACCTGCTCAGAATGACAAGCAGCACAAGGGGCCCGAGACGGCAATTTGTGAACAGCTACATTAATAGCCAACAGACTTTCGGCAGATTCATCACATACATGTAATATTTTTGTCAGCAGTTTTGCTACAGCTGTTAATTGAAAAAAACTATGGCAGTTGGACAATCAGCAAACAGTGTGGCCAACATGTGCCATAGCCTGAGACTTTGCTGAATCCTGGAAGAGAATTTGTTCTACTTAAAGACGAGCGATGAGATCACCTTAACACAAGTTGGTATTTAATGAGAAAGTCTACAGTTCACTAACATTTTTGTGTGTGTTTTTCGCACAAAAAATTGCACACTTATCTTCGGAGCAAATCATCTCTTGCTTTTGGTCATCATGGAAACTACACAGTCATCTGATGAAGGAATAAGTGTGTCTTCAAACACAACAGAAGACAATGTTGAGAAGGAACTCACATCAACAACTGTGATGATTTTGGTCAAGGTGTTGGCAGTACTTGCAATATTTCTGTGTGTCTTACTGAATCCACTGATGCTTGTCACCTTACGTCGTGTCACCAGCATCCAGCCAACAACCAAAATATTCATGGCTTCTCTCACCCTGTCTGATCTGTGCAACAGTTTATGCTGGATCCTTGCTTTAACAGAATTGTTTGCTGGATCATGGTTGCTGGGGGATTTTCTCTGTGTGGTATATGGTGTGACTCAATACTTATTTAACGGACTGGGCATTATTTCTCTTTTAATTCTGACTGTGGATCGTTATATTGCCATTTCACATGCTCTACAATACCCTTCAATCATGACTGTGTTCAGATCAAAGATAATTGTGTTGAGCACATGGGCAGCACAGAGCATTCTCTGCATTTTGGTATTTGGGATTGATGGGAGTCGTATTGTCTCACTGGATACCCGTTATTACCTTTGCCTAGGACATTATGACTGGAGAATGTATCTACCTTTTACACTTCTGGTTATTACAATTCTATCAATATTCATCCTGTATGCATGCATCGCCCGGATAGCTCGCAACCAAGCCCAACGCATTGCTGCTGAAAACCAAGCAGGCAATGGTCAAGGTAGGCAGAGAATAAACAACAGATCAGCCACCACCATCATTATCATAACAGGGACATTAATCATCACCTGGATTCCAACAGCCATCGGGATGCTGCTACCACAAAACACACGGACGCTGTACCTGGCAGGCATGTTCACGGATGTTCTGCTGTTGTGCAATAGCTGGCTGAATGTTATGATTTACTACCTGAGGAATAGAGATCTTCGTCAGGCAATACGTTCTTTACTATCTGACTGGCATAGAAGTCTGCAACAAAGATTCTTGCATTAAGCAGTAAGTGTCAAAACACTTTTTTATACAAAACGCTTTACAACCAATTCACCAGCTCAACAAGACGTCAGATTGTCAAAGGACACCAGAGGAATGGGTTCACTCTTTGCATACAATGGTCAAGGTGAGCAGAGAATAAACACCAGATTAACCACATGCAGCATCATCATTGCACTGCACATCAATTTTGTGGTGATGACCATGAATGAGTCTCTTGTGCCTATTACGTGTACTAATATCAAATATATAAGTCATCAACCAGTAAGCTCAACAGCACAAACAATTGGAAGATGGGCCAAAGCAGTCATGACAAAGGAATGAGGGGAACAGGGCATATGGCAAAGTACAAGTAGTTGCTACATGTACATGTACAGTGAACATGTACCATCTTTCTTTCAGTTTGTGAACTTGATTTGCATTTCTTATTCCCAATGGTTGCTCAGCACACTCACGTTTTCTGTAGCACTTCAATAATTACTGTATGCATAGTATATATGTGCATGTGCCTGTCAAATCAGTCGCAATGCAAGAACGAGGAAGATGAATTGTTTACTTTAACTTCTCTTGTTGAACCATTAAGTGAATGGCATCAGAGAGTCTTTCCTTGAACCAATCTTGATCAAAGTTTCAGGACTTCATTTCAATAACTAGCGTCACTTACATAACAACATACTAGCTATTACATGGTGCATCAAATATAATGGAATTTAAAAATAATTGATTATATTATGTCAAATATGAACTTGAGCACCTTCATTGGGGTCGCATCTTTGCTAACTGAGCACTGTTGATTTCAAAGCAAAAGCTAAGAACCTACTTATGCCATGTTAAGCATGAGCTGTTGATAATGTGTTGTTGCTGAGGACTGTGTGTTGACAGGAGATGTGTTCAAGATGCCAGAAGCGTTAGTGTATTTTAGACTGAATCCTTCCATCCTATTTCTTTCATTTGTTTCATTCTAAATTAGCCATCCCATGTCAACATGCAGCAAGATGTGCATACAGTTTGGTGTCCGTTTGAACCTTCATTTGCTTCGTTGGGTGGAACAGGAGAATACCTTCTTAAACATGTCTGCCTCCCCTTTGCAAACAGTCTGAGTGCCGTGAAGGAATAAAAACCATGAAATTATCTATGCCCTCTCTTTGTGTTTGGTTATCTTTACAGAGCTTTGAGTTGCCGCTGGTCCTCGATGCACTTCAGCCAAATCAAAGGGACATCGCGTACCAATTCAAGCCAGACACAGGTTGTCCTGGATCTAGAGAACTACACAGGTTACTGCACCTGATGTGCGGTGAGGTGGTGAACTGGAGCCAGTGTTACTGATGGACAATTATAGTCAGCTTGGAAGCTTCAACCGGTCGAAGAAGGTGAGACATTTCGCAAATTCAAGCAAATCACAATCTGCTTTAAACAAAGTTGCCTGCTTTACATAAACCTGCATGAGATCTTGGGTTTAAGTCTTTCCCACGCAGGGTAGTGAATTGTTTCTCAACATGCTCAAACATTTCAGAGTATTCAGTGCTTATCATAACAAAGAGCCAGCGATTGCACTGTTAAGAGCTGAGTGTTAAAGTGTCAGTATTGATATTTGAAAGTTTCCTTCGAAACTAATGCACAAATCTTTGGTTGAGACTGTGATACCAGTCAGATAGGAGACCTCGTAGTGCTTGACGAAGTTCCCTGTTTCTCAGATAGTAAATAACAACATTGAGCCATCCACTGGACAACACCAGAGCTTGTGTGAACATGGCGGCCAAGTGACTGTCATAAGTCTCCGATTTGTTTTGAGAATTCATCCCTAACCAAATAACTATAGGCATCCAGGTGATGGTTACAGTCCCTGTTATGATGATGATGGTGGTGGTTGATCTGGTGTTTATTCTCTGCCCACCTTGACCATTGCCTGCTTGGTTTTCAGCAGCAATGCGTCTGGCTTGATTGTGAGCTATCAGGGCTATGTGTGCATACAGGATGAATATTGACAGAATCGTGATAACAAGTAGTGCAAAAGTTAGAGAATGTCTCCAGTCATAAATTCCTAGGCAAAGGTAATAATGGGTATCCAGTGGGACAATACGACTCCCATCAATCCCAAATATATTTTTTTATTTGGGCATTTCTTTTTGTATGTACAATCATTTTGAGGCGTCTGCGTGTAGTTGAGGGTAAAAGGCAGTTTTTTTTCTCGTTTTTCGAATAAAAAAAATTAGGGTAAGGGCTGTCAGAATAGGCTAGTAAGGGAAACTGGAAGCAGCACTTTTTTTTTTTTGGCCTCAGTATATCCCCGTAGTTTCTAAAAATGCCATTAATCCTTTCTGTGCATGAGAGACTACTTACACCGAACAGGCCTTGAACCGCAACCTCCGGATAACCGTTCCAGTGCTCTTACCTACTGAGCTATCCTCAGCAACTTTTCATTTCATTTTCTTTCATCATTTACAAACTTTATCATGCACGTGCTTATCAATTTAGGTAATTCGTGATAATGAACATCTGACTTAATTAT